TCTCAGCCTGCGTTGCTCGGCCCCTCCCCTCGGCCTTTAACCATTCGTTCTCCCTTCTCCTAGACTATTTGTACACAGTACGACTTCATAACAAATAAACAGCCACCGGGACCTACTTGAATGCTACCAGATCCAAATTAGCTCTCCGGGATATGACAAGTTTAAGATACCGCCATCATTCCTTCTTATTTTCTGCCCATATTTTCTCTTTTGCTGCCACATGATACTATCTATACTCTATACATACATACATACACGTACATACATACATACATACGGACAACACCGCATCCCTCGCACGAAGACAAGAAAAACGAAACAAGAGAAACTCAACTCTCACCGGAGCATACCGCAGCTCAACTCTTAAATCAAAAAACTAATGTACGTTAATTATTTTGCATTCTTCGGAAGTATATACCTATGGCAACCAGTTCCTACATATCTGGGTAGCCGTCTTTCATCTGTCAACACCCAGTATGTATGTCCTAGGCTAAAGCTAGTGCTGATGACCCCCTGTGAAGGGGGGATCTACAATACGTCTGGGATGAAGATTCTAGAGCATCGAGGCCTACATGTGCGCCGTAGTACGGGTGCGTGTTTATGTGTATAGTGTGTGTAGGTGAATGCAAATGTAGTATGGTATTAGTTTTTGGCCCCTCTCTATCTGGGCTGTGTCACCTGTCCCCCGTCCCCCGTCCCCCGTCATCTACCTATTGTTCGCTTGGCCCCTCGCTGACGATGGGATCGTGGGCTTTAGTATTAGTGCCACTAAATATTATAAGTTCCGGGCATCCTCCCTTGTTCCCTGCTCTCTCTCATCCTTCCTAACGCACAATAAAATACAAAAACTGCGGTCGGTCGTACCTATCGACCTGCACGCCCGAATTTCGAAAGTGCTGACCGCAGACTTTCGTTTTAGCCCTTGGAGGCCGAGACGATATATAATACGTCTCTCTGTGTTTACGCCGGCAACATCAAAAATCCTCCGTCGCATTCACGATTTAAAGTTGTACCTTTCTAACGGGTACCGACCGATAGCAACCGATAGCCGGAGTTCCTAAGTAGGGTAAGTGTGTCTCGCACCTCTCGCACATTCCATACCTATTCCATATCCATTACCGTGCCTTCCTACCTTGCATAGCCTATGCGCATACCTGCTTCATTCAAGGGCGAAGTCGAACTACTTTAAACTGTTTTATTGCATACCTCTCTCTTCTCGTCTCTTCTCTCTCTCTGAGCCGAGACCAATTCACAATTCACAATTCAACATTCACCCCGCTTGAATTTGGCGCCACTTGCAATTCCACACCTTTTAGAAACCCAAACCCAATTGATATCCCTTTGCGCCCAACTGAGCCAGTCTTATTGGAAGACCGGGATCCCCCAGATAAACTTTTTGATATTCGCACTGCTCACTTGTCACGAGAGACTTGTCTACAAAAAGCCATCCAAATTCCTCATTCAGATCCGTACTCGGATTGTTCCGCACGACAGCACGTACAGGACACACGCCTTACCTACATTCACCTTCACTGTGCAAATAACATTCATCCTAAAAAGAGAGAGAGAGAGAGAGAGAGAGAGACAGAAAGCCACAAGATAACAGTGAATCAAAATTGCTAATACTGGTGCCAGAAACTTGGGGGGTTAGTCCGCACCATTATTCTCATTATTTGCGATTCGGAGTTCCACATACCAACGGCGACGCCCAGTTCAGACTCTCTGAACTATAAATCAATTCAAACTCCCTCAGTGAGGTTGGCAACGTCGGCTACCGCCTAATCGCTAACTTCCCTTTGCTCCGACTTTCTTAGGCAGATCGTCGAGGGGAAGGGGTATCTAGACGTTAAATTATCACCAATGTCGTAAGTAGGGATAGTCTATTACTTCATCAACTCGCCATTGACCTCATCATTTAAGTCGAAGATTTACCACACGCAATCCACGCCACAGCGGTCCTATCTCGGACGAAGTTAGCTACTCAGAAGAGGAGGATTCAAGGCCTAGTGGAGGATCATACAGCCATAGCCACGGACGAGAGGTTTCGGACGAGGACTCCTACGATAGTGAAGAAGGCGAAGAAGAGTACGAAGACGACGATATTGATCCGGAAGATTCGGCTTCTACTAGCCCCTCAAGGCGTCACCACCCAGAAGCCCGTCCTCATCGCGCCCCATCCCGTGCCCCGTCTCGCACGCCGTCTGGACAGCAGCACAGGAGTGTTGCCCACAGAATACCCTCCCATTACGATTACGATAGTTATCGGCCTGCGCCGAACCCCTCTGCCAGTCTGGATTCAGATTACGATTACTACGGCCGCGGTGCCTACCCACCGCCGGCCGGGGGGAACCAGTATTATGCCGGTGGTCGTGGCTATCCCCAAAGCCACGTTGGCGGCTATGCTCCCCCTTATGGTGGAAGTGGGCAGGTAGTGCCATACGGACCACCCAATCCTTACCAAAATCCTTTCGCCCCGATGAACGGAAATGCTGGTAACTATTTTAATAACGAGCATAGGTGGCCTGGTGGTAACGAAATGATGCCGTTTGGCGGAGGTGGCGGTCAGAATTACTTTGGTGGCCAGCCGCCGTATCCTATGCCGCATGGCATGGCACCATACCAGTGGTCCCCTCCTCCGCCTCCACCGACGGACATTGGTGGCCCGTCCCGAACACCCGCCCCGGCCCCGGCCCCGGCGCCAGAACCTCCGAAGGAGGACCCCGAAAAGGAAGCCATGAAAAAGAAATTAGCCGAGATTGAAGCCGAGCAGAAGCGGAAAGAACAAGAAGCTAAGCAAAAGGAGCTCGAGGCTCAAATTAGGCTGGAGGCGGAGCTGGCATTCCAGCGCAAAATGGAGCAGATCAAGAGGGACGAAGAGATTCGTGCCGAGGAAAGAAAGATTGCCCTAGAGAAATTGACCAAAGACATCGAGGATGCAAAGAGGGCAGCCGAGAAAGCCGAGGCGGAGCGTGCCCGTAAGGAAGCAGAAGCTATTGAAAGAGCTGAGCGGAGTGCCCGTGACAAACTCGAGGCGGAACAGAAGGCCGAAGCAGAAAGGAAGAAGAGAGAAGCGGAGGCTGCCGCCCAGGCAGAGGCTGCTCTTCAAGCTAAGCTGCAGGCCGCTATCAGGGCCGAAGCCGATGCGAGAGCGGCGGCGGCGGCTAAAGCTGCTGAGGAGGCTGCACAAAGGCAGAAATTTGAGGAAGAGGCCAAGGCAAAAGCTGAGCTAGAAGCCCGCAAAAAAATAGAAGCTGAAGAGGCCGCCAGGGCTGCTGCCGCCGCAAAGGCTGCGGAAGAGGCTGCGCAAAGAAAGAAATTCGAGGAAGAGGCCAAAGCAAAGGCAGAGTTGGAAGCTCGTTTGAAGTTGGAGGCCGAGGCAAATGCCAGGGCTGCAGCAGCGAAGGCGGCGGCGGAAGAGGAAGCAAGGCAGAAAAAAATAGAAGAAGAAGCAAAAATCAAGGCTGAGCTTGAAGCTCGTAAAAAGATAGAAGATGAAAAGGCAGCGGCGGAGGCAGCCAAAGCTGCCGAGGAAGCTAAGAAGAAGGAAGAGGAGGCACTAAAGAAGAAGCTCTTAGAAGAGGCCAAGCTCAAGGCTGAAGAAGCGAATAAGAAGAACCTTGGTAAGGACAAGGCGCCAATTCGCTTCAAGGACGCCGTGGGAAGAAAATTCAGCTTCCCTTTCCATATATGCCAGAGCTGGCAGGTACGTCAAAGGCCCTATGTTTCCGCTTGAAACTCGCTTGCTAATTTACTCTCTAGGGCATGGAAGAGCTTATCAAGCAAGCTTTCAGTCATGTCGACGTTATCGGCCCCCATGTACAAGCTGGGCATTATGATCTTATTGGTCCGAATGGCGAGATTATTCTCCCCCAGATATGGGACAAGGTGATTGAACCAGATTGGGCGGTGACGATGCATATGTGGCCCATGGATCGGCCGGCCATGCCTCAGGGGGGAGCTATGAGGTCTATACCTGGTAGACCAGGAGTCCACATGGCAAATGGCCCGTTCCCGCCGCAGGGTCTTAGGCCGCAAGGCCAACCGCGTCCGGCAAGCAGTGGTGGACCTCCACCTCCGCCGAGTCATCCGATGATGATGGGTGCGGGCGGCATGCCCGGTCATGTGAGGAGCCAGGTTCCTTTCGATGGACGCCCAGTTGGGGGTCCTGGTGGAGGGATGCCTCCAAATATCATCCAAGTTAACAAGCCTCCTTCTGGTAAGAAGCCAACCAAGAAAGTCCAGAGCGGCGTGCTTGGGTGGATAGGTGGAGGAGCTGCGAAGCCCACCAAAGGCAAGAGGTCAGTCGCTACATCTATTATGTTTTTTGTTACATGAGCTCACAACTAAACGTGTAGTAGTAGAACTAAACGATAAGTTATAATCCATTCACATGTACTCCGGGGATACCTGGGCAACTCGATTTAGCCACTGTCAATTTCCACTTACTCCCGTGCCTTTCTCGCCAGGCACCAGTCCTAATTTCTATTCACATCACCAATTTATTCTTTGGGGAGTTCTGCGATGGTCTCCAATAACAGATTTTGCATTATACCCCGGCTCGAGACGACGTCATTGTTTAAAGCGGCTTTTTTCGCGGGCTTTTTTCCTTCGAGCACGTATTATGGACGAAGTAATAATTAGCACGGGGAAACAATATTTATTCATCACAACTTCGATACCGGTAGACCTGTATCATTTTTTTGCTACTACCGCGTGTTTACATCTAGGACTATATTTTTTTTTCTTACATGAGGTGACGATGTCTCATACGCTAAGAATGACGAGATGTATGAGGAGGGGCAAGTAAATGGATGTTCTTTCAAGACGGCGAGCATTTTTACCTTGTTGAGATTTGTTTTGAGAGGGGCTATATTCTTGGATGGCGTCGTGGATGAGAAAGACTGGGGAGACCAAGACACATCCGGACTGATATGTTACATATTTAAATTAGGAGTTACTATAGGTTTTGAATTGAATCTTGAGAATTGTATTCTTAAGGCTTTAGTTGATGTGAAGATTTATTATGATTTTGGCCGTCTAATTTTAAGATAGTTGTATACATAGATAGGGTCTATATGGACAAATCAGTCAATGCTAGCGGACTCTATATACCTAGGGAGGGGAGTTTCTTAGCAGAGAACTGATTCGCGGTCTTCTGTGAGTGATAGGGGTATGGTACACCATTTACATCGCATTATAAGTGCGGTTCGGGACATAGCAAGAATCCAATCCCTCACCGCGCAACACCCGGATCATTCCTAGTCTCCTTCAACACCCGCTCCGCCTGCCGCACAAACGCCTCCACCATAACCCCCGCGACCTTATCGGCAACAGCCGCGCTCACAGCCGTGTACAAGGGGTTCGCAAACTGGTACTTTATCGTGAGTCGGACGTCGCTCCAGCGATCTTCGCGGACCGCGTCGTCGTGGGCCGGGAGAACCGTCCATCGCGTTACTAGGCTCTTGAATACGCCCCGGCTCCCGATATCCGGCCCGGGGTGGTGGTCTGTTAGGCCGTGTCTGCGCAGCTCGGAGGCCGGGATCTCGGTTCGCGCGTCGCCGCTTATGGCTTCGACGATGCCGAGGGTGGGCACGCAGAAGAGCCGGCTCGTGTAGGTCTCTTCGAAACCGCCCCAGCCGGCGGTTAGGTCGGCTTGGGTGGGCCAGCGGCGGGTGGTGGTGGTGTGTGGGTTTCCGGGAGTGGGGTCGGTCCACCGTGTCACGCGCGAAACTTTGCAGTATGGTAGGAAGCGCACGTAAGAGTCGACGTCGGCGATTATGTCGTAGAGGCGCTCGTGGTCGTAGGGGAGGCGGCGCGAGGCGGTTAGGATTTGCGGCTTGGTGGGGTCGGGGAGGGAGATGAAGGTCCGCCGGGGAGGGTGCGGGTATGTTCGGAGGGTGGAGAGTAGACGCGGTGGGCGTGGGAGGAGGCGTGCTGTCGCCATTGAAGAGTCGGGAGGGAGCCCCGGGGAAGTAGTTCAAGGTGAGTTCAAGGTAGTTACGTTTATGAGTTATGTTGGGTACTTGGATACGAAAAGAGAATTATGAGTTGATATGTAAAAATCTCGGAAATTCTATAGATCTTTCATTTTTAAATCACACCGCTGTCTAGATGCATAGGTCTATATTACAACGCAAGGGAAAAAAAAAAGTAATATAACAGAACTGGTACTCTTTTAGCTAGATGCGATAAGTATAAGAAAAAAAGTGACGTTGAATTTCACCGCAGAGGCATCGATACATTATCGATAAGAAAAAAGCACGCTACTAATACAGCCCCACTCTGTTCGGTGCTTAAATTTTCTTGGAATCTTTTTTTCTTCCCAACCCAATCTTTTACCAACTCGTTTTTTCCACGAGCTCCCAATATGCCAGGAACCACACCCTTACGGTGACCGACGAGAGGACTAGTGAAAGGACTCAGTCGACAAGCACCGTTTTATATATCGCGCGATGACTTCTACTGTCGCAACTACTACGGCAGTATTGCCAGATGAGGAGCTGCTAGCTAAGGCCGAAGCGTTGACCGTGCAGGATGGCGCAGAGACTCAGTTGCCTGCCCACAGGAACCATGATCCGCAGAATAACTTGAAGAGAAGCGATCCTTTCCAGTTTGGATCGCGCTACCTTCAGGAAAATGATGATGTCTTCGAGTTCAATGCTTGGGATCATGTGGAGACTGACGACACTTATAAGGAGTATGCTGAGCAGCAATATGCTATGCAACGAGAGTCGCCAGTCTCCGACTTCGACAAAAGTGAGTACACAACCTTTTCTATCACCTTCGGTGTTGTGATGATACTCCATTATGCATAGTTCATCTGAATATCTCTGATGACCACATACATCAATTCTTTCGCTCCCATCTGACACACCTTACCCTTACAATCTCAATATTGCTACGCATCGTAAATGCAGCTGCTAACAGACGCAATCAGGTAGATTCAATTCCGACCCTGCTAAGTGGTGGAATCTATTCTATAAGAATAACACAGCCAACTTCTTCAAGAACCGTAAATGGTTACAACAAGAGTTCCCCGTACTTGACAAGGTTACTGCAGAAGATGCCGGCCCAGTTACAGTGCTGGAAGTCGGTGCCGGTGCCGGCAATACGGCGTTCCCCATCTTGGCCAATAACAAGAACCCCAAGCTGAAACTGCATGCTTGTGACTTCTCTAAAAAGGCTGTTGAAGTGATGCGTAGTCATGAAGAATATAACACCGACTTCATGCAAGCCGACGTATGGGATGCCGCTAGTGAGGACCTGCCTCCCGGCCTCGAGGAAGGCAGCGTAGATGTTGTCCTTATGATATTCATATTCTCTGCCCTGTCCCCGAAGCAGTGGGAGCAGGCCGTGCGGAACATCTATCGAGTACTCAAGCCGGGCGGTGAGGTTTGCTTCCGCGACTACGGCAGAGGTGATCTAGCACAGGTTCGATTCAAGAAAGGTCGATACCTGGAAGAGAACTTCTACATTAGAGGGGATGGTACCCGGGTCTACTTCTTTGAGAAGGATGAGCTAGCTCAGATATGGATGGGAACATCTGCTGTAGCTGATGCAAAGGACGATGGCGAGACTACCGAGCCTTCGGAGTCGAAGGTACAAGAACCTTTGTTTGATATAGAGGAGTTGGGTGTCGATAGAAGGATGCTCGTAAATAGAGCCCGGCGGTTGAAGATGTATCGCTGCTGGATGCAAGGCCGCTTCCGTAAGAAATAAACATGATTTCGCAATACCTGTATTAGTGCTAAAATGTGATTTTGCATTGTGTTTTCTAGTCCAACTTGACGATACTATTTTTATAAAAACCACCTAGGTTGTAGGTATATAACCTACACACTCAACACCTTAACTAATCTCTCCCGTCCATCTTTTCCAAACCCAATACCATCCAAATAAGCGTCAATACCACCATACTTCACATCCAAATGCCCTTTAATCCCCTCTACGAAATCACCCGGTACATCTACCCACTCCGGCGAAAGGCCAACCCTCCGAGCCTCTTTGAGTCGAGCCTCTTCATTGATTGCGAGGCCCTCGCGTGACAGCTGGTAGTCGCGCATGATTGCAGCTGATGGTACGCCGAGGATCATCAACGTTAGGGCGATGATGAGGCCGGTTCGGTCTTTGCCTAAGGCGCAGTGCACTAGGAGGGGGAGGGATGAGGGGGATATGAAAGTGCGGAGGGCCTATATATATAAGGAAGGGAATGTTAGTTTCTTTCTTTGGGGGGGTTGGTGAGTACCTATGGAAATTATAGGGGTTGGGTTTAGGGTAGATGGATGGATGGATGGGTGGATAAAGAGAGGAAGAGAAAGAAAAAGAAACTTGCCTCAGCGATCTCGGGACCAGACTGGTCCAGCGTTACGAGAGCCATACCTACGAGACCTCGCGGCTGCATGGCTTCCCGGCTGAGGATGCTGGTAGCTTGGGCGCGGTGGCCGAGGAGTGCGAGGATGGTTACCTTGCTATGCGGAGTTTATGGCTTGTTAGCTATAACTAGAATCGTATAGGTAGTGAGGATCTCATATGTATGTCCATGCCCGTCTACAGAAAGAAGGGGGAAGGAAAAGCAATGGGGCCTCACGAGAAAGCCCACCACCCAAGCTGTTCCCAGAGAAACGCCTCGAACCGCTTCCCCGTCACCTTGATCTCGCGGTACTGCAGGCCGGGGATCCGCCCGCGCTGCTCCTTGCTAGACGGCGTTGCAACTAGTTAATATATATATGTGGCGCAATTAAGAGGGGGGACGTCAGGGGCGGCTTAGGTACTTATTTCGCAGATCCACGACCGTTCGGATGCCTAGCTCATCTTTGATTCTCCTGCGGTCTGAGGGGGATGCTCTGTCTGGATGGAGTGCGGGTTAGTATGGTGGTGGTTGGGTGCTTGGAGACGGACAAGATAAATAGGGGGGGAGGGGCTTTTCTCTCACCTGGTCGCGCGGATCGGAAGAATACGCCTTCTCGGATTACCCTGAGCTAAAATTTAGCTGTCTCTGTGTTTTTTTTTTTTTTTACTGGTATTTAGAAGAGTATCTTACTTCTGGCCGAGATAATTGTTAATCGTCTTTCCGACGTCTCGGAAGTTGTCGATGTTGTCGAAAGCGATGGACATTTTGTCGTTGGTTCAGGAGACGGAGAAAATATTCTTGGATGCATTGGGCCTACGTGGTATCTTGCGGGAACTGGTTGTATGAGATATGTTGTGGGTTATATAGTTGCCAACTAGGTTTATAGAGTTATTGGATTGTAAGTGCGCTCAACAATATGAGATAGGTACGCCTTGACCCTGTCCTATTTCGTGAACGGATGGCCGGGGCTTCCCCAGTAGTGTATGAGGCGTATATCTTGGAACCTCATTACCGCCTTCCATGAGACATCGAAGCTACTGGTAACACATATATTCATATCTCTCAAATTCAAATGCACTATAACTAATATTAGCTCCCGAGAAACTCTGTATTGGTCTTACTGATGCGCACCGTTCTTCTCCATTACCGGAGTCCTGTACATGTGTTTCTAGATAGTGACAGCGCAGTTCCCACGGGGAACAATTCCATCCTGGTCTCGCAATCGCAATCCGTAATTTTTCTAGCGACGGCGTGAAAGCAGCTCTGTTCTCTCATATTTTAATTAGCCAGGGAGGTCCTAAAGTCTCAGCACACACCAAATGGGCGGTACTCTCATTTTCGCCGCACCAAACCTCAAGCACCTGTTGCAAGCTTCTCGGCAGGCGTCCCAATGGCATCTCCGACTCTTGTTTCAAAAGTAGCGGGTGAAGAATAGCCAAACTTTTTTCAATCTGCTGAACTGGCGAAGGTCGACTGGTGCGCCTCCCTCATAGGAGTCCGCCTCGCTTGCTATCGCCTGCTCTAGCTGCTCACAACTAAAGACGGGCTGGCCAAAGAGGTCTAGACGCCATCCATTATAACCTTCCGGCTCAAAATCGTACTAAAGTTCCTGAAGGCTCGTTGGCCAGCTTAAAAATAGAGATCGCACATCTATATGTGAGGTGCCGGCACGGCAATTGTGCTAATATCATACTGCCTGAGGAAAGATGGTCGGTCTTTCAGGGAAGCTGGAAAGGCTTCCGGAGTGGGCTGGAGATACGAAATGATCTCGGGTAGAAGCTCGTCCAAGAGGCTGAGAAGATAGGCCATGGATTCGATTTAATGGCATTTGATGGAAGAGGGGGACTTTGGGGAATCACATATCTTAGTTGGCACTTCGTATAAATCCTCCATTACAATATCAACTTTTAATATTCATTTTTTATTTCTAAACGGCAACTATCCTTTGGTAAGATCCAGCCCGTCTATAACGTAGACTACCTCCTTTGAATCCGTATCGATAACTGTTGTTGGTACTGATATCTGTACAATATAAAACTGAATTATGGATTACCTAATCAAAGCTAACGGGGCTGGTGTATGACAATGACGTAATAGTCATTGGCATCGTCAAAGCCACAAGCGATGATGAAGCAGATAATGATGAATCAACCATACGGCCATAACCATAGTTCAAGCTACACAAAAATAAATTCATAGCTGTTAACATCATTTTTTAATTCATAGGATTATGTTCTCAAACATACTTAATTCTTCTTCCTCATACCTAAACATCAAGTATCATCTAGATTCTAGAATGCACCATCCCATCCTCGTCTACCCAGGTACTTGTATATCAAGGTAGGTAGGGATTTATACACTACTATTGTATACACTACAATCACTACAATCACACATGCCTTTGTCGTCGTGTAAACGAGCTATACCCAGGTAGTTGATTTGTCTCTCAAAACTCATCATACCTACATCATCCATCATCCCACCTTCAATATCTATCTACCAAGACTTATTCCATTTATCATTTATCTTTTCTCCATTCTCCCTCACCTTAAACTCACCTTCATCCCACCTCCACTCACGTCTCCAATAAACCAGATCTCTCAATCATCTTATCTCCAATCAGACCCGGCAATTCTATGCCGATCCTTCTAAAAAAAGAGAAAGAAAGCCGAGAAATCTAGGTGAGGTCGAATACGACTATAGGTACGCGTACAGATGCAGCTGAGAGCTCGCCGTTCTCAGCCACATAATATATAACATGGCCGCAACCAATGAGACGGAGACACAGGGGGGCTTGGGGCGACAGCTACACGATGACGACACCAAACCGACAGGTAAGCTTCATGTCGCAAAGACTCTCTTTTTGATTATCGTGACTTTTAATTTATTTTCCTTCTTCAAAATGAGATTACAAAAATGTTACTATCAAATGTTACTGTCATTTTTTAAATTTATAAGTGATAGCTGATTCTTTATTAGTTCACTCGGGAAAGCTCATTTATGCAAAACCCCAAGACCTTCCGAGCTTCCCGTCTATTGGCCTTTCAGAAAAAGGATCCGCAGCCAGTGCAGCTGCTGCTTTAGGTTGGGTCTCCAATACATCACCTGAGCTGTGGAAGCCGGACAAATCCGCTCCAGCTTCAGCTGCCGCCGTCATGGCGAAAGATTATAAGCTGAGTCCCGCCTGGGAACCCGTTCCTAGCCAGCACAGCACCAAAGCCGCTCTGTTCGCGTCACAATCTGCCATGAGCGTCACCAAGCCCGCCAAATCAACAACTCCCGATCCTGGCCATTCTGCCGCAAATTTGGCTTTCAAGTCAGATCGGAGCCCACCCGGTTCTGTTTATGGGAGCTCTCTGGAGCGCCACAGGTCGCTACTTGCTGCGAAAGGTGCCATGGCGAACCGCCAAAGAGCGAAGTCCTCGCCGATTCCTAAGGAATCGTATCCGGATGAGGCAAATGCCGCCGCCAATGCCCTAAGTGCTGCGACCCGAGCTCATAGGCCAATTCGGTCACCGACAATAAGCGAAACCAGCGAGAAGGGCGGCTCTGTCCCTTACACTAATATGGACAGGCAGATGTTCACATCGCGACCACCAGTCAAATGCGAAGTCGACGATCAGAAGAGAGCAGATAGTCTTCATGCCTCTGCTGTTGCGATGGCCAAGAAGATGTATACTCAGCAGCAAAAAATGATCGACGCCAAAAAGGCACATGATAATGCTAACCCTCCTCAAGAGAATGCTGATGCTTTTAGCAGCGTCAGCGATGATGCGCAACCTTTACATCTTACTACCTTGCAAGACGCGGCTTACAAGCAAGCACAAGCACGTCTAGCTAAGATGCACGAAGAGCACTTCAAGGGTCGGGAATATCAGGAGTATTACGGGGCCAAGCCGCTAACGCGACGGTTTTCAATCAGGGGTAAGCTCAGGAAAAGGGCTTCTAGCGACGGCGACGTTATTGAAGACCGCAGACGATCACAGCAGATTAAGCAGCAGATGTCTTTATTCTCCAGCAAAATTTCCGAGGTCGACAGCAAAAAGCGACAGCAGGATCAAGAGGTATTACTCGCTGCAGCTCAGAGGAACGTGCACGAACGTTTGAAAGGGATGGATGAAAAGATATCCGCCGAGACAGGAATGGTCCATCCGTCCACTCCAACACAATGGGAAATGAAAGCACACGCTATAGCCCAGGCTAAGGCCGAGCAGCGCCTAGGCCAGAGGCACGGACAGGTTGATATTGGTGCCGGAAAGTATATGAGCCAAGATGAAATTGACGCAATCGCTGCGGCGAGGGTCAAGCCTGTTTTGGATGAAATTAACGAAAAGGTTGAGGAAGAGCAGGCAAGGCAAACAGAGTTACGTCTTGAGATGGAGAGAAAGAAAGAAGAGGAGGAGATCGAAAAGGCTCGGCAAAAGGAAATCCAGGATATTAATAAACGACTTAAGGGTCAGCTATGTTTTGTAACCCCCTAGATTTCATGCACTAACAACCTCTACAGAACAAGATAAGCAAGAGCAGAAAGAGAGGAGGGCAGAGGAGAAACACGAGGCCAAGGCGAGGAAAGAAGAAGAAAAGGCAGCTAAAGCAGAACAGAAACGGCTAGCGAGGACCGAGAAACGTAGATCTACGGCTGAACGATCCGGGGAAAGTCAAGATGAGCCGGACCCTACAAATGAAACAGTTGTTATGAGTACCGCGGGCCAACCCGTCAGCGTACCTCCTCCACTAGAACCGGCATCCACTGCCGCCGAAAACGCTGAAGACGGAGTAGTGGATCGAGAGGCGGTGTCACCCGGCGAAGGGTCGTCGAAAGGCGGCGTTAAGACATGGTTCAAGAACCGCTTTTCTCGAAGCGCGAAACAACCGGACGACAAAGGCAAATCGGTAGAGAGGGGTTTCGTCGGCGGGGCCGCCCTAAAGGGCGTTAATAGCTCCACGAGCATAGATAATCCAGGCAGCGTTAGCATGTTTGCTGTGGCGATGGTGGGCCGCGGGCGGACTACTAATCTAGAGGACGAAGCTGCCGGCGCGGCGACGCCGACGAGGAATTCGAGCGATGGCGAGAACGAGCATTTCCGCGACGACTCGCAAGATCAGCCCAGGGCGTCGCTAACGCCGCCTAGGCCGCCCCGTTCGTCAGTTGCGAACCACAGTCCCAGTCGAGACTCGAAGTTTGTGGAGATGCTAGCCTCCACCTCATAGAAGGCTAGGTATGCTATTTTATCACGAGATACACATTTTGCGCGCGGGGGTGGAGTTGTTTCTAAGGCTACTTTTCAACTTGCGGTTATCCTATGCGTTATGGGGATGGTTCGGTCGCCTTTTTTCCCTAGGATTTAAGAGGATTTTGGCCGGTAAAATTGGGAAAGACAACAACCGCAAGGATATAGGGGCTTTGGTTTTCTTGCGCGGGAATCGGTTTGATGACTTTATTTGCTTGGCGTTGGTTTGCGCTCTTCGTTCATGTATAGGGGGTGGTGGTTTGATCGGACATATCTGTGTAACAGCGCCAATATACCCCCTTTTCTTACTTCCTTATATAGGTGAAAAGTTGACATTTTGAATCTCATTTCGTCGATGCTTGATTTATATGTGTCACCCAAAATCTTACAAATTGCATTTATTAGTTTTACTAGGTTCACGCTGTATCTTGGAAATTATAAATGAGAGACACAATACCTTACAAATTGCATTTATTAGATTTACTATCTTCACGCTGTACCTTGGAAATTACAAATGAGGGATGTCAATACCGACAGTTTACTCAACTCAAAATGTTCGTATTATTCAATACACATCTGTCGCTACGTTATAAAATGGTGTTATACTGTGCAAATACCGCTATTGTTTCTTATCCACCTCGGCCGTGGCGGCTAGGTTGAACTGCCATATTAACGTTCTAACCGTCTAACTTGAACCCTCAGAATAATGACTCATGAGAAGTTACCATGCAAGATTCAACATGTGCCTGATTGAAAACCTGTATCATTACACTCCAGTGGAGGTTACCGAACGCCGTGAGTAAATGTCGTTCCCCTATTCCTTCTAAACCTGGTATCATTATTATCGTGATCTAATGCAACCTCCAAACAAGCTCGGCGTGTTGTTCTACTGAAAGTAAAACTATCCGAAAATACTATGAAGAAGCGGAGCCTCTTAAAAGTCTCTCGGGTCTGTTCTCACTTTGTGCTGGTGACCGTGACTATCTGTCAGCGTCCTCTGGCTATCCTGGGTTTGCCTACCCCCGGGCAGGACGCTGGGATGTGTCGCATAGTAGGTCTCTTCCATCTGTCGCGCGGGATCCTGGACCGGGTGGGGGTTGTGCCGCGTAGTTGTAGCAGGATACAAGTCGACGTAAAAGGAGAAGACGTAGAAGGAGAATATTAAGGCAATAACCCACTCGATAATAGCAGATTTGTTGTGGTCGCCCCCGAAGTTAATCACGCCAAAGGCAATCGCTAGGCCTAGCTCGATGATGACGAAGATTAATTTAATCCAGAATGAGATGCGGAGGACACGAATTTGACGGTTTTCTATGAAGAGATTTCTCGTTAGTTTCTGTTCTAACTAAAATAGACAATGTGCGGACTTACTATGACCTAGACGCTGGTATTCCCAACAGATGAAGATGGCCGAGAATAGATATCCTGCAATGAAGAGCAGAAGGAAAATATCGTGTAGTCTCGGATACCGGAGGGTATCAAATCCGGATAGACAAGTCAGACCAATTGTGCCAATCACGGCGAAGAAGATGCACAGGCCGCTCAGAACCTTTTCGCCAGTAGAGGTGTTGGGCACCAGTCGACCTCGATGTCGCAAATAGCGGTCAGCCCCAAAGGATAGATCGAGAAATATCGTGGTGATGATGCATCCCGTGACGAACAACGGTTTGAGCTCTGAAGCACCGACGTCTGATATGTAGGCAATCGTTTGGTCGTCGTCCATAGAGTCATAATGAACTCGGTTGGTGTTTATGATCCAATATAGAAGAAGTCCTAATAATGTTGCCAGCCACATGAGGCCGGATATGATGGGAAATACCTTTGCGATAATGTTAGCTGCGTACGAAGGAAAAAAACAAAACAATTGGGATAATTGGTGGTTCCTTTCACTTACCCAATACGACAGGAACCGCATCGTGGATTGATTTACTGGGGGTTTGTAAAACGCTATAATTCCTCTATTGTGGTGATGTCTAAGTAATTATGTAGGCACCTAAGGTATAAGGGAAAGCCGCCGACTTATAATAAACGAGCGAAAGAGGTAAGAGAATACAAAATACGATACACAGCCCGAAGAATAAAAAGGGCGCGGGAACAATGAATTGCGACGAGAGGAATAAGATTGCGCGTAAGTATAAGATTTAAGATCTAGAAGATCATGTTGTTGACGGCGATGATGAGTAACCTTGTGAAAGCAATTCCTTCAAAAGGGGATCGACGTATGACTTCATTCGACAGACGAGACTTACTCGGGCATCAGGGCGCCACGAATTTTTTTTTAAATCTCCGGGACCTACGGGAACGAGCAAGGACCGACTTACCTACATACATAGGACGACTAAGACAGGATTCGTCATTGGCGTAAAATGGAGGCTGGCTATGCTTGCATATATACCTAGTTAGTTAGTAAGAAATCCATGTACAATACAGGGCTATGATAGGACTTATGTGAGCTGGTTCGGGGCCTGTGGATACTAACAGGCCGACTCGGGCTTTTCTGAAGATGTGATGTTTTGCTTCCTACCGCTTGCGACTTTGAATTAAGAAATGGTGACGTCAATAGAGACTTGCGTGGAATGAAGACGCACCAAACTAAGAATAAGCAAGTCATACATAGGCCACATCATGCGGTGCTCATAGTAATAAATAGACTGTGCATAATATTTTGAATACTGTATGGGGTAAATATAATATGGAGATTACCTATAGCTTAATTTAACCAATTATCGCGTTTCCCATCTGCAAGATCAATATCCACCAATCACACGTAACTAATCCCTACCTTTACCTATCTTTGTATTCAAAATCATAGCCTTGCCTCTTCTTCCCAAGGCTGACAAAGAGCCACTTGAGCCTTTACAACCTTCTGTCCCTCAGTTTTAAATACTCGAGGGTGAAGGATATTATATCACACGATGGCGGTCTCGCCTGTGATCGTGCATCCTACCGATGCTCTACCGAACCCTAGATCTTTATCCTCGCCTCTCAAGACCGTAACTTCAGCACAGGCGTCGTCCAATGGAACTCCCGTGGTCGCAACAGCTGCGCCGAATGTAGTCGCAGCAGCACAAGCAACCTCCCTAGATCTGGCGGAACAGCTTAACGAGGAGGAGAAGCGCAAATATGTTAAGGGTAGGTTCGGCGATTTATTGGGTGACTTGGAATAGATGGGCAATGCGCTAACTCGAGATCCCTTCGAAGGCAAGAAACTCGGTGAAGGTACCTACGCCAACGTCTACCTTGGCTTCCTAAAAAGCGATCCGACGAAGCTGGTAGCCATAAAAAAGATTAAGATACAAAAGGAGTACACGGAGGGGATGGCGCCCGATGCCGTCCGCGAAATCAAGCATTTACAGGAGCTATCGCACCCGAACATAATAACGCTGCATTCCGTCTTCTCTTCTAAAAACCAGAACCTCAATCTCGTTCTGGAGTACCTCCCCCTTGGCGACTTGGAAATGCTTATCCGTGACGTCGATCGCGTCAGATACGGTGCCGCCGACATTAAGGCTTGGATGGGTATGCTTACGAGGGCGGTGTGGTTCTGTCATGAGAACTTCGTGCTGCATCGTGATATCAAACCCAACAATTTGCTTATTGCAGCCGATGGGGAGGTGAAGCTTGCCGATTTTGGTCTGGCCCGAAGCTTCTCGGATCCGTATAAGCCAATGACGGCGAACGTCATCACGCGATGGTATAGACCTCCCGAGTTGTTGTATGGAGCAAAGCATTACTCGGGCGCAGTAGATATCTGGTCCGTCGGCCTGGTCTTCGCCGAATTGATCATAAGGACGCCATACATCGCCGGAGACACAGAGATGCGGCAGATCAGTCTTATCTGCACCGCCATCGGTACGCCCACAGAGGAGAATTGGCCGGGGGTCACTAAGTTACCGGCGTATACTACGGAAGGAGAAATCCATCCCGTACGGGGAAGGGAGTATTACATGTCGTTCTTCGGCACAGTTGGAACCGAGGGCGTCGATCTCCTGATGAAGACGTTGATACTCGATCCTAAGAAGCGTATTACGGCCCTGGGGATGCTGAAGCACGAATGGTGGAACAAAGACCCCAAGCCCACGCGCAAGCAGGATTTACCGAAGAAGTCGGGCGGGCAGGAGAAGATCGGCGCTGATTTGAAGAGGAGGCCTGGCATAGTAGATGACGACAAGACCGCGAAAGTTGCCCGGAAGCTGGACTTCGGCGCGACGAAATAGAATTCTAAGCGGCGAAAGAGAGATTCTGATGACTTGATGTGAATACCGGTCTGGCGCTTAGGAGTTTAGAGGTATAATCAAAGCGTTAGAGGTTAGGGACTTATGAATGGATAGGGCAGTATAGGATAATGAAGTACAGCGTGATGGTTCGGAGTTTGACACAGCACGCGTAGAACTCGTGGTTATGGCTAGGTATGTCTATGGTACATAAAGTACAGAAGTCTTTTTTTTATATGTTCAGTTATACCACTCATCGCCTACAACTCGCCCCGTTCTCTCATCTCGCGCCGCTCGGCAATGCGCTTCTTGTAACGGACTTCGGTCCTCCTCCTCTCACCACCGTCGATCTTGTGGCCCCGCCGGAACTCCCACATGCCCTCCGTAATAGACACCCGGACGCCTTCGCCGCCCTTAAGCGGCAGCGCGTAAGGGCCCACGATAGTCTTGGCGCCCTCCACTTTGTACCCTCGCACGCGGGACATCTCGTCCAAGCTGCAGTCCTTGACGGACCGCCCCGGCGGCACGTTCACCACGTACTTGCGCGGGTTCACCGGGTCCCGATCCGACTCCAGGATCCGAAGGTCCGCCTTGCCGTCCTCCACGTGCTGCAGGTCCCCTCCGATGCCGTACTGTCCCAGCCGGAAGCGCTGGCGCCACTGCAGGAGGTACCGCCTCGTTCGCGGGGGCTCGACGCCGAGCTCGCGCAGCTGGTCGGATGTTAAGGAGAACAGGGCCTCCCAGGTGGGGAACTTGGAGGCGTGCTGGCTTAGGCCCCGGCCGATTACGGTGAGGAAGGTCTGCACGTCGGGGATGAAGGGCGTGGGAGGGGGGATTTCTCCGGCGGGGCGGGTCGTGGTTGAGGAGGATGCTCGGATGCAGGTTGTTGTTAATGGTTGGAGTTGGAAGGCTGCGCGGGGGGTTATGGGCGCTAGGGCGGTGCGCAGTTGCTGCGGGTTGAGAAGGGGCTGCGGTATGTTAAACTATGTGTAAGTCTTGGTAGTGGTATGTTGACTCACCTTTAAGCGCACCATTTTGACGGCGATATACCGCGCTCTCTCCTAGTCTTCAGGCCTCAGACGATGTCCCCAGATGACCATACCCCTAAGAAAACTGGGCAGACAGCTAGAACTACTTCGCAATATTCTAGTATATCCGCGGCGCAGTTGTAGCTTAAGCAGATAGATACTGTAGATAGATAGGCTCGATATTGAAAATTCAATGGAGAGTCGGCAAGGGAAATTTGTATCCTCCGATAGGTCCGTGCAACCCTAGCGCCCCATCGCCCATCGATGCGGGATGTGGATCTACAGTAACGTCTTTAGGATTAGCGCCTGTAAGCCTCACTGCGCTTATGAGTCAATAGTGGGTAGTAGCTCTTATCGGATAAGAGCCTCTTGTAGCTGTGCCCCTCGATGAAGTACCTACTGTAACTCGGTTGGCCCCGCGAGTTGTCCGGTAGGTTAGTTGTCTGCCTGCTCCCTCAGCCTCAACAACTTTTTTTTTTCTTTCCCCAAAAGTAAACTTCTTTTCCGAGTTTACCACGCCACAGGTATGTGTTGACGTAAATACCTAGGCGTCATTCTTGTGAAACCTTGGAAGGTTATTCCTTGTTCCTGACAGGCAGTTCTTGTTATCGCATTCACGCCTGTCGTCTCTTACCGTGTACGCCATGGGGCGCCCAGGCTTATCGCAAGCCTCGAAGGCGTCGGTTAATCGACAAAAGGGCTCTGTTCAGGTCCGTCGCGTGACGTCTAGTGGTATGTTAAGATGGAATTATTATATTGAAATAACATTGCTTACCTTGTTCAGATGCCTTTCCAACAGATTTCCTCAACTTCTTGAATGCGCTTCCGTCTGATAGCGCCTCGCGCAATACAACTGATCCCTCACAAAATGCAACCAAGCAGACTGAACCCCCTAGAAAACGCCCTCGAATCGAATGCTTCGAAGCAATCCCTATTGCGAGAGATTCACTTACTTTCAAGCGACCTGTTCAAACCGAAGTATCCCTTGATGAACTAATCTTATGCGTGAATGTCCACCATCACATGAAGCTACATCATGATGAACAACTACGGGTTTTAACTATCTCCTCTAATGCGCGATCTCCCTATGGCGCATTCAAAACTGAGCTGGACTTAGGTCGTCACACATTCTCCAAGAGCACACTGGCAATATTGAATGTGATGAGCCGCAGCCGAGACGCTGACGGCGATGAAGGCGCACTTTGGGTAGGCGTCAGTGTTAGCCTGGAGAGGAAAAATAACAGAGACCAACTCCAGCTCTCCCTTCAGCTGAATTGGAATTCAACCCATTCACCCCATTCACTACGGAGTTCCGCTGAGCGCGCTCTTAGTCAACAAGTTCTAGATACCTTCTTCACAAACCAGACCCAAGAGCAAGGTGCTGCCAATGAGAAGCTTTCCCCTCAGGCTTTTTACGATGCAGCATTTGTTCCGGAAAAGGATCCCGTAAGCCCATTACCCCTCTCAGCTCCTAAGTTGATGACCTCGAAGCTGTTCCCCTTCCAACGTAGGGCACTACAATGGCTTTTGAATAGAGAAGGTGTCAAATGGAGTGATCGTTGTTCAAATGGGAAGCCTGGCCTGGAGCCGTTATCTCCGCCGTCAGCCAACAGCCTGCCATTGTCATTCAGCATGGTAAATGATGCAGACGGTCGGTTAGTATACATCAGCAATCTCTACCACGTCATTACTAGAGATATTAGCGCGTTCCGTAAGAGTGAAACTGCTGTGAAAGGTGGCATTCTAGCCGAAGAAATGGGCTTGGGAAAGACAGTTGAGACGATTGCCCTTATCTGCATGCATAGGCGTGATAATCTTCTGCACCTAAATACCAACACAGCTCAGAACGAGCGGCCAAGTGGTGCAACACTAATCGTCACTCCCACTACACTCAGGAACCAATGGGTCTCAGAATTTAAGAAGCATGCACCACATCTCCGTGGGATGGTGTATGAGGGCCTAAAGGGTGTTAGTGAAGATGAACAACGATTTGTCTCCGAACTAGTAAAGAAAGACGTTGTCATCACGACTTACAATGTTCTGCAGGCCGAGATCCATTATGCGGCAGAGCCCCCTGATCGCTCTATGCGACACCAAAGAAAATACCACCGCCCCAAATCGCCGTTGACTCAGATCTCCTGGTGGAGAGTATGTTTAGATGAAGCTCAACAAATCGAGAGCGGCGTTAGTAGCGCTGCCAAGGTTGCAAGACTAATACCTCGTATCAATGCTTGGGGTATCACTGGAACGCCGGCCAAGACGAACATTAAGGACCTATGGGGCTTATTGCTTTTTCTTCGATATGAGCCGTTTGCCTCCTCCTTCAACATATGGGAGGGTCTGATATCAACCCATAAGGAATTGTTTAAACCTCTTTTCAACAGCATTTCCTTACGACACACAAAGCGCGCAGTCAGAAGCGAGCTAAGTCTACCACCTCAAAAACGGTATGTCATAACCATGCCTTTCAATACGGTCGAGGAGCAGCATTACCAGACAGAATTCAAAGATCTCGTGATGAAGTTCGGCCTTGATGAGCACGGATCGCCTCTTCAGGGAGATTGGGACCCCGAGAACCCGTTGATAATCGATTCAATGAAACGTGCCCTTTCTCTGCTCAGAAAGTCAATATTGCACCCGTCTATCGGATCCGGCCGAATTCATCAAACAACAAATCAGAGGAACAAGGGCCCTCCAACAATTGAAGAGGTGCTAGAAGCCATGATCGAGCAATCAGATTCTTTTATCAGGGCAGAGCAGCGTATTTATTTACTCAGCAAGCTAGAGAGAGGCCAGTTATTGGAGTACCGGTCTGAGGTGGACGCGGCCATTCAGCTTTGGCAGGAAGTAGTAGATGAGGTTACAGTCCTAGAAGAAGAATGCCGAAAGCAACTAGAAAGCGAGCTAGAAAAGGCTAAACAAGCAGGTTCTAGCGACATGTTCATGGAGGATGAAGGCAGCGATGCCGAGAGTGATGATGATACCGACGAGAAAACGGCGCTCGGAAAGGTCAGCGAATGCCGACGAAAACTCCGATCTATGCTCGATCTTCACCATAGAGCCGTTTTCTTCATCGCCAGCGGCTATTTCCAGATCAAATCTGATGAGAAGAGGACGGTTCCTAATTCGGAGGGATTCAAACTGCTAGAGGAGAAGGAGGTCTCCGGGTATGATGCAGCGAAGAATATTCGAAAAGAGATTCTACGTGAGGCGCGGGCCAAAGCTTTGTCCTGCATTACTAGGATTCGAGAAAAGGCGTCGTCGCAATCGTTCACCGAGGTTCCCGAAGTTAGACTGCCTGAGTTTCGGGGCCTAGAGACTAGGCGAATTTCGGATAGCTTCAAGGTGCTCGCCGGTGCTCTCGATGTTCAGGCAGATTTGATCGATGAATGGCGAGAAACCGTTATTCAAATGTTAATCCGGCCACTTGTAGACGAGGAGGAAGAAGCAGAGATCACGGGCGATGAATACGAGGACTCAACCAAAATCCAGGATGAACTGATGGTATATACGCTGGCTTTGAGAGCCGTAATAGCCGACAGACGGGATGCGATGTCCGGCCTGGAGAACGAGCGGGTTAAATACGATACTCGCTTCGCAGAGCGACAAGCTCAAGCTGGAGAAGGCCATGCCCCCGAAAAAGTTCTTGTCTTACTTCGAAAGCGCGACAGAATCAAGCAGCTATATCTAGGAACCTCGTTCCGAGCCATCGTTACGGATCTTCGAGAGTTGGCAACGAAACTCCGCCATGATATCAGCAACGGAAGCAGTCGTGCGAGGGTTGAGCTGCACATCGTCGAAGGGCATCTGAAGCTGACGCAAGAGCAGAGCAACGCACAGAACAAGGCGGCGACAGCTTTAGAGCGAGAGTTGGACACTTTTACGGCGGCGATGAATGCGCGCGTGGAATACTACAGGCAGCTGCAGAGCATTTCTGATAACGTTGCTCCGCTTGACGCAACCCAACTCCCAGATGATGATCCGTATTCTGCGGCGGTAGAAAAAGAGTATGAGATGCAAGAGCGAGAGAAAGCCTCAAAGGACAAATTTACCGCAGCTCTGCCTAAGCATCGTTACCGTAAGACTCCCTGCCCAAATCAGGATATACCGACTACATTTATATGCATACTGACTTAGTTCACAGTCCTCCACCTCAGAGAAGCGGGTCAGAAGTCAGAAGAAGTCTGTGTTATCTGCCAGGGTGCTTTCACTCTAGGAGTGCTTACTGTCTGTGGGCATCACTTCTGCAAAGAGTGTATCGTGACTTGGCTTAAGAAAGTCCACATTTGTCCCGTCTGCAAGATGAAACTTTCGTCATCAAATCTTCACGATATTACGCTGAAAAAGCAAGAGTTGAAATTCCACCAAGAACACCCGCAAGAGAGCTCGCAAGCATCGGACCAGGCCAGTGCGCTTACCAAGTTCAAGAAGTCGGGTATCTATTCCGAATTCAGCAGCGATAAACTCGACGCCATCAAGGCTATCGATCTCAACGGCCCTTCATTCGCTACTAAGATCGATACTCTAGCGAAGCATCTGCTGTGGCTACGTGTTGAAGACCCAGGCGCCAAGTCTGTCATCTTCTCCCAGTTCGGCGAGTTCCTCGAGATCCTCGGCCGAGCTTTCGACCAATACCAAATCGGGCATTCTTCTTTCAAGCAGAAGAACGGTATCAATACGTTCAAGGAGGACCCCGCTATCGAATGCTTCCTCATGGATGCCAGAGCGCACGCTAGCGGTCTCAACCTCGTCAACGCAAGCCACGTGTTCCTATGCGAGCCCCTCCTCAACACGGCATTGGAACTGCAGGCGATCGCCCGAGTAGACCGGATCGGGCAGGAGCACGAGACGACGGTATGGCTATATCTGATAGATGGCACGGTCGAGGAGTCCATCTATAACCTTTCTGTCCAGCGGCGCCTGGAACACCTCGGCCAGAGCACCAAAGGAAAGGAGAAGGAGCAAGAGTCCAGCGCGGAGGTCTCGGATCTCAATCTCGAGGCGGCAAACTCTCTAGAGCTCCAGCAGGCCACCCTGTCGAAGCTCATGAGCAAGGATCAGAGCATGGGAGAAGTCGTCGAGCAGAACGACCTCTGGCAGTGCTTGTTCGGCCACGTTACCAGGAACGAGGCGGCTGCCGACGAGCGGATGAACGATCCTGCTGTCATTGGCTTCCTCGCTGGCGCGGCGGCGGAGGCTAGACGACAACAGGACTAAGTAACGGTTTTGATTCGGTGGTGTGTAAATACGTACGTCCCCGGCCCTGCGATTACATACCCCCCGGTACTTGACGATGTATAAAATAAGCACTTAATCACCCCTGTACGTACGATACGATATGATACGACGCGATATGTAAGTTTAGTTGACGAGGGCGTCTTGGAATTCACGGCACGATATTAGCAGGGCGTTAGGGATTGCATTGCATGTTGAGGCGCGCTGTCTGTCTGTCTATCTGTTTGCTAGGCTAGGTTATGTTACGATAACATAATGCTATGATGTCTGCGCTCGTACTATGTAATTAATTAGCTAGGTAATTCATCAATCAATCAAGAAAGCTATATTGCTCAGGCATTTCAGCTCTGGCTAGTTCGTTTGTTATCCGCGAATCATAAATTAGAAAAGGGATAATTAGGTGGGTTATCAGCTTGTAGTTGGTTGCTATGGTTCGTAGGTAAGGCATATTTTTATAAATGTCTATGTAGGTAGGGATGCTACATATACTACCTAATGTAAGGAGACAGGATAGATGGTGGTGGATAAAGTAAACTAACTCTAGAGCTGAAAAGAGGTAGGTAGGAAGAAGAGCTGAAGCCGAATGGATAGTGTTACCCCTGTCCTCTTGGCCTTTCGGCTATGAGGTAGGTAGCTTTTCACCCCTGGAAGCCGCCCGCCCGCTCACCCGGCTGACGGGCAGCTTACACGCGAGGATTAAGCTTAAATGTTAAATCGCGTGCTGTGCGTGTGCGGCATGTAGTGTCACTATTTAACTAGGTAGGTAGGTTGGTGGATACTATTACTGTTGTATTTGTCTTTAGGGGGGGAGGGGGTTTTCAGCTTTGTCGATCTGTGGGGGAGGGGGAGGGGGGACTTTCCAATGGCCACGCGAGAGGAAGGGATATTATATTACACCCGAGACATACGCGCAAGCAAGGAGGTAAGCACGTGTGTAAGGGGTTCTTTATAGTGAGTGAGTGAGTGAGAGTTGTCTGAGATGTGATGTTGTAGAATATAGATATAGATATAGTGATAGGTAGGGATAGGGATGGGGATGGGAATATAACAAGAGACGGATTATTAGATCGTTAATGCTACGCACAGGTGTGTAGGTATGTTTTAAGCCACGAGTCTCTAGGCTATATTGTGTGCAATTCCTGTGCACTTAGACACTCACACTCACACTCACACACTTACACTTACACTTACACTTATACATTCCTACCTACTATATCAAGTAGGTAACTAAACTAGTTCATGTCCACTATAAGGTAGGCAGCTAATATAAACTGCATATACATACGTAACCACATCTCCCCATCCAAGCCATGAGCTGACCGACCACGACGACCATACATACGCCCGCCCTTCGACACCCACCCAACCAACCAACAACCCCTGAGATACCATCCGTCTTTTCTTCTCAGCTCCGGCAGACTCAGCCTAGCGTCGCCCCGTCGAAACCGATTAATTTATGACCCGCGTGGGCGACACGTTGTGCGTACCCTGCTGAAGGGGGGGACGTCCCCGTTGCGCACGTGGGATTTCGTTCTAGAAGCTTTTTTCTTCTGTTGGTGTCTGGTCGGATCTGGGGTCCTGTCTTGTGTACCTACCTACCTACTTATTTACCTATCTACCTAAAGCAACGGAGGTTTTGCTTTTATTTATTTGTTTCTTCTAGTTATAGATTAACTATACTATGTACATAGTTGTAGATATATATATATATAGGTATATATAGCGCTATGTAAGACATACACATGGCTATCCGGTCTCTCCCGGTACTCCCCAATAATCCCGGCCGGCCGGCCCACGACAGAATCCTCTTGCGTTAGGTCCTGTACTGTACCGTACCGTAGAAGCACAGGTAGTGGGTTGGTTTCAGGTCATCGCGTGGTTTTTTTTTTCCTGTGCCGCAGTGCGACATCCGCAGCGGCACGTACATATATTAGGTACGTTAGTAGACTTGCCTAGACCGAGGTAGTTTATCACGACGGTATGTCTTAATATGCATAGACTTGGCTTGGCTTGGCTTGATCGTGGCTATCTATCGTGTCGTACGTATACCGTAAGTTTCAAGTCTACGTAACTATAGGTAAATAACTCGTTCGATGGCCAGAGGAAGCGTTACGCTTGAGAGGTAAAACCTCACCTTATTCCATCTCCTTCCTTTTTATCGTCGTACCCGCGGGCGAATTATGTAGTTTAAACATATCAGATAGGTAGTTAACTGGGTCAGGGTCAATAATAAAATTGTATAATTCAAACATTGAAGTAAGTGAACACCTGGTATCTATGTATTGACAGCATGACAACGACTAACTCGACGATAATAGTAACAAGAACAATAATATAATACAGCGTAACATCAAAACGGGGTATTTTAACAGGAGGGCTGGTAAGTATGTAGGTTAGCAGATGATAGTAGTACACGATGTGTTGGTTTAGGTAGTTAGTCGTGGCGGAAGAAAAGAAAAAAGCAAAAATAAAACAAAGCAAAGCAGAAGAAATCATTGCGGCAACGCTGTCTAACAGATTCTCCTTCGTTAGACTTTTTTTTCTCCAAGAGTCATTACCATCCATTCGTACTCCGACCAACAGAACCCAGAACCTGTAATACGTAATTCGTTTAAGACCTCCACTGCCACAGGCAGAGCAGATAGCGAGACAGAGATGGGGGTTAGCAGCCTATTCTCAGCCGCCCTTGTGTCACACACCCCCCCTTTCTCGTCTCCGTGCCTAAGTTCGATGGTGATGGTGATGATGACTATACCCGCTATTTGGATCGAAGTCGTAGTAATATGGCGGCAGATCTTGATATGCGAAATCGTCGCTTTCGCTGCTATTTGTCCTGCTCCCGTAGCTGACCGTCTGGTATTGTTGGTACGGGCTCGACACCGCGTAGTACTGCGCCGCGTCGTCTTGCCTCGTGTCGTTGGTATAGCTGTTATTATTATCGCCTTCGCAGTCCCTGTTGCTGCTGCCTCCGCTACGTCTGCTCTCCGTCTCGTAGCCCCTCGCTAGAACGTGTGTCATACTGAGGCTCCCCCAAGGCAGGCCTGAGAGGTCTATGCCGTCATCTACTGCGATTTCGTCCGACGAAGGGAGACGGTAGCTGCTGGCTGCGTTTTCCAAGTCGCGCGACTCCCGTTCTGCCTTTTCTTTCTGCTCTCTGGCTTTCTCTCCTATTCCAACCTGTTAGTTTAGTCCGTCTTGGAACTGGAGATATGTATTCAGTTACGTACGGAACTTTCGCTGAGCCAGTCGATTTTGAATGCGCCTCCTCTCCTCGGGCTCTGTAACTTCTGTCCAGTCGTCTGTCGAAGGTCTAGACCTAGGCTTGGGCGACTTATTAGGAATCGATTCGTGCTTCTTGGACGAGCGTGAATTCATCTTGTCTCACTCCTACGCCTATGTTCTAAACTAGGTAATTTCAAGTTGTGCCTCTTCAGTCTTGGAGAACAGTCAGGACTGCTTGTGTGTCGTAATCAGTATTGCTTTTCGTGATGGTCGCTTATATTCGGCTAGTAGTAAAGGTTGATATTACTAGAGCCAAGCGGGAATCCTTGAATATTAATGAGAGAAGCTTGGCTGGGAAGGAAGATGGGTACTGAATCCTTTTAGGACCAGGTGTGCCGGTACCTGTCATATATACCTCCCGGGATATAGATAGGCAGAGAATATAAAAGCAAGGTGAGTGACTACTGGATAGACAGACCCGTATGGAAGTGTTTGGGGGCCATTCTGGTCGGTTGACGGAATGTAACTTGAAACCACTTATAAGGCTGATGACAAGGGTACTATATGTCACAGAGCTTTTGCCTACATGGGATGACGATGGAACCTTCATGGGACCTTTGGCGAGGTCTGGGCCAGACTTGCGGGATGGCCATTGAGGCTTATGGTGTCTGTCTATACTATGTAGCCATCCACTCGAGCCCCGAGACTCGAGCGGGCTATTTGGTGTGGCTACTTGGTTGCGTGCAAGCAAAGGTGACGGATAGCATGTAGCATGCAACTATCGGCGAGGTAACAATAGAGCAACCTGGACTCAAGCCACTGCTGCAACCCCCGACTATGACGCGCAGGTTGATAGCTTTGGCCAGGCAAGACTTTCCTGCACACGTACGCCAGCATTGCGTCAAGGTAGTACCTGAGGGAAGAAAGACATCGTCAGGTATGAAGCCACTAATAAGCTACTATGGTAAGAAGCTATTCTCAATGGGGGGAGTGGCATTGTGCATCATCCATCGTCCATCGCCTTATGGAGCTATTGGATCGCCCGCATCTCGAACTAGGAAACCCTGACAGCCGAAATATCGGGAGCACAGGCCATAGCCGTCTATCCTGGTCATCCTAACTACTCTAGGGTAACTAGGTAGGTAGTCATCCTAGTCGAGAGTCAGAAATGAGCCGTTCAAGTCCGGGATATGAATGGCCATCAGGGCAGAGCCACAGTTAGCTAATCTCGACTTTCTAAAACGAAATACGATTCTCGCTCAGACCAATCATGGGTTGGGGGGTTCTTGGCATTCGTGAAGGTTATCGGTTTTTATGTATACCTAACTACCTATGTATTAGGTAGTTATATGTATATGTATTTATGGTGGTGATGGTGGGGAGAATAGTGTAAGATATGTAAAAGTATGAAAGGTAGATCCGTCATTCCTCGTCGGGACCTACTTACGTGGAAACCCCTCTCTGTAAATTACCAGATTTACCGGCCGGACGGGGTGAATTCCGGCGAACGACTTTGGCAAATATTGCTCGCTGGTCTTTTTGTCTGTGGGGAGTAAAAACGGACGGGGAACCCTGTATTGCGAAGACGACGCCGATGTTCCTTCGGAGTGTCTAAACCAATAAGAAGTCGGCGTAAGACCAAGATATACCACATAAGAAGTCTGGCGGATCGAAAAGAACCCTCATCTGTCAAAGGAGTCTGTGATAGGTAATCCTAAGATGGGATAGGATAGGGGGTTCGCCATGATTTACCTTCTCACCACGACCCACGACCCACACACCCGGTATCCTGCCTTAATTTTCTTATACTGCTCCTGTGCTTTATGCTATGTTATGTATGCTATGTGAAGTATGTATAATATTATTATTTAGTAAGTCAGTCTTCAGTGTCTCGTGACGCTAGTTGTAAGTGAAGTTTGAATGAGAAGGCGGACAACATAAACTATCCAAAGCTTATCTCACTTTCAAGCCATGTTTCGGACTCCACCGACTGCTGCGACTGGCGACGGAGACTGACTGTTAGTGGCGTAGTGTATTTGACACGGTTCGGTTCTGTTCGGTTCGGTGGGGGGTATGAAGAGGTTTGGATTTCCATGTTTCTATGTAAGGACTAACCCTCCGTGCGGCTGAAATCCTTCGAGCCAAACTGTTGATCTCTTATCCTCTTTAAAGAGCTCGTGGACCTTGTCCAAAAGGTAGATCAACTGCCGTATTCGTGCCTCTACAAGAAGATCGTCTTGGGTCTCACAAAAAGGTACCAGATAGTGCAAGGGTAAGCCACGTCCTAACTGCATACCCGTAGACCCATTCAGGCCCGTAGGCCCATTCAGGTTCAAAAGTCCCCCATCCCAGCAGTTTAAGGTGAGTGGGGGGGAAATCCTTACGGGACAGGGGTTTCTAGAATGCGTAATTACTGAAAGGAGGACGCTTTGGATCTGAATCCGTGAGCTTGACGGCCACGAGACTCGTTAGGCTGTGTACATAGTATGTATGTATGTATGTACGTACGTACGTATGTATGGTTATGTGTGGTCACACTGCATTCTGCGAGATGACTGGATTTTTTAGGCTCGCTTGCTCTGGCAACACGAACGCCATGCTTTCTGCCCATTTAGCTTCTAGGAATTTTAACACCATGGACATCATATCCTGGTCACTAGTCGCGAGCGACTAAGCATATCGCCGAAAGCGGCACCGAGCAAGGAGAAGAGGCTATGTATACCTACTCCTACGCCTGCGATACGGCCATAACCGTAGTTTTGCTTTGTTAAATTGTCCCATCATTGATCGGGGCACCGTGTGCACCGTGTGCCTCGCGGGGACCTGCAGCTCATGTAGGGTATAGGTATATTACGGGGGGGATATCGTCGATTATCTAATAATAGACCTTTAATAAAACGTCTCCATTTGCGAAGGGATGGAGTTCTGCACCGTGGAGGAGATATGTCATAGTACCATACCTGACTTGCGGTGAAGTGCTAAAATTGCTTTCGTCAGCAACGTACGGCTCGTAATGTGCGGTGTTTGGTCCCTTCCAGAATTCCAGGGTGTTGCTATGCTATCCATCAAGATCGAATATGAACTTCTCAAACCGTCCTGCAATATAAGGGGGCCAATGGCCAATCAACACATTACATAAACAAGCGAGGTAAGCAATACCAGGCTAGCTAGAAGACCAATCATTCATCAAATCGATTCACCATATGCATGTGGTCAAGCTCCTTGGCATCTGCCTATGGTCTGCTTTGACGTCCCGTACTAATGAGTCAGACGGCGAAGCACCTAGGATGAACGCACCTAGGGCTGATAGCCGCCTGTGCCTAGTAAAATAGGTGATACTTCTAATACCGAGCTCTTTTCGCATGGCCGCTGCGTTCATGGCGGGCTTGTCAGCTTTTGGTCGTCGCGGTACTGGCAATGTGTAACCAGGTTACGAGAAGTAACGGCAGTAGTTCCCTATGCCTAACTTATTGGGCATCACACCGCTTTATTGCGATACAAACCCCGACGATACTAACTATATAGGCTTTTTGTTTGTTGAATGCCGCTCTTTTATATCTGCTGCATAACTACTCGTTATTGTAGGGCTGAGCGCAATCATGGGGTGAGATTCGAAATATAATTAACCCAAGACAGTATAGAAGATGGTGTCCGATTGCCCGGCATCTCACTTGTAGTACCCGAAATGTCGGTGGCAGATCTGCCACCTAGCCCAATGGTAGTATAGTATGCAGCATCGAAGATGCATGTATCATCCCGACGATACGGTTCGCTTCTAGCCGCCGGAATATTAATTCCTTGAGCCTGTTGGAACTTTAAACCTCAATATCAGATTAGACCGGGGTTTGACTGTTTCAAGTGCTTTCAATCAGCGAGCAAGCCACCAAGTCATGGGTGTAAATGTATCCGTTTCTTCGGAATGGACCTTCTCACGGGAACGACTGGTCTTGTAGCTGGAGCTATTGGCTTGACCAGTGCAAATAAAATGTAAGGTAGTGGGTCTTTAGGCTTCAGGCGACGAAGCATGTCACTCCTACATGACCTGACACTCGAGTCCGTACATCGCTCTCTCTACATCCTTCTTGACCTGATACCAGTCGGCTCTCCTTTCGGCAAACTCGTATACTTCTTCGGCGCGAAATATGCCTCCGAATCGGTCGCCGTCAGCTATGATGATGGCCATTTCTTTGGCATGTTTAGGGTCGATAAGGTATATCTGGCTTAGTTCTCGTAGAGCTTTGAAGTATGCTAGTAGATCTGGGTTCTTGAGCGTCCGTATATATTCGAAATACATGTTCATATCCGCGATGAGTTTGATTGCACCTTCGGTGCTGATACGCTGTCGTTTGATATGCTTGCACACGGCCGTGAATAAACGCAGTCCGACTTCGCCGTTGAATACGTCCAGCATGGTCTTCTCCGTGCTCCCTACCAGCATCCTGGTGTGAGAAGCTACCAGTTCGGTAACGCGCTTTGCAGTTGTGGTTGGACCTATATCGGGATCCTTAGAGACCCCAACCTCTTGCGTGGTGGGCGACGGGTTAAAGTCGGTAGGTAGCTGCGTTGTAGCGCAGAGATATTCGACTTCGTCCATCAACACGTCGATACCTTTATTAAGACCTGCCGCAACATTCTCGTCCAACATCTGCTCAAATTTCTTTTTAGCTAGGCCCGCAGGATCGAGGAAATCATTTCGGTCGGCAATTTTCGGCGCAGCAAGTTGCTGCTCATAAAATAAATCGACCATTTGTGAAATGATATCGCCAACATTGACCAACTCGATAAACATAACGAGTGGCGCCACTCCAGTCTGGCTATGGTCGCTTATTTCTCGAGGATTATACCGGGAAAGATGCTCTACGGCTTTTGCGAACCCATTTTTAACGTGTGTCTGACCAAGGATCTTGACCAGGACAACGAACATCGCTTCGCATTGCTCTCGAGCTTCTTCACCCGCCTGACCGCCTAGCGTTACAAACTTCGCTGCTCTTCCAAGGCTTTCTTTCGCGGCATGCACTAAATCAAGAGCGACTTCGATACTGAAAAGACTTTTGATCCCTTCAAGCCGGTTCGCCATGAGCGCAGCTTTCGCCTTAAGTTCATCAGTGGGTGCTTCAGGGGGCAGAGGACTCGCGGTTCGTTCTAAGGTATCACCAAGCCCAGGCGTTTCCGGACGGGATGATGCAGGTGTGCCGGTCACTGATGGCCGAAGTGTGTTGCTGTTAGTAGCTGATGTTGTAGTTGCCTTGGTAGTCCCAAAAGGCAGGACTGTAACTGGCATCATCACTACCTTTTTGAAGGAGCTTAGAAAGTCGTTTTTGTCGGCTTGTCGATTGAAATTGCCCATATAAAATGACTCGACGGTAGCCTCTTGCTCCGAGAGCTTCTGCTCCCAGTTTTTAACTTCGCGTTCGGCATACTTCGTCAAACTATCCAGCTCCTCTTGCAAGTATAGATCTAGGTGTGGCTCAAACACTCTCAAGGCTATCTCTTTTGCATGGTCTTCTAAGCTCTTTTCGGAAGAATCCTTTGGTGGAACGAGTAACCGAACAAATTCCATGCACTGCTCAAACAAGCCAGACACCGCCTTTAAGTAGGACGGCATGTATCGATCGTGACATTCGTCTAATAAAGGAGTGACATACTCCATGATGATTTCTTCTCGAACTTTGTCCACGAAGACCCAAAAGACAGTTGCCGGCTGAGGGAAGATGCGGCCAATCACGTCGCCCTGCTCGTTTACCTTTTTAACGAGCGAATTGAAGAAGGCACGGGAAGGCTCGAGAGTAATGCTGTCCTGGGGAGCTTGGTTGATACAATCCATCGGATTGCCTATAATTCCGCGGTCGCTGAGAATTGGGTGCTTGTGAATGAAGAGGTCCATGGCCGCATTGCCCTCGTTTAGATTATGCAACACATGCGCGTATCTCTTCATCCTGCCATCAACATCCCAGAACTCGTATCCCTGCTCGAACTCTCTTAAGACCGCGCTTTCGAAGAGAGTTGTCATGTTGATGAGTTTAGCCTCCCGCTGCATATAACCCTCGGTCCAGTCGCTTTTGCTAAATATTTGTAAATTAGATAGCATCTGCGCTTGCCTTTCTGGATCCCGAAACACCTTAAACACGATTGGTTCGGTATGGTTCCTCGCTCGTGCCAGATCAAAATAAAAGGGTGCTAGAGCCCCGTAAATTTTGCCATACTCTTCCCTTGCGTGACCCCGTATACTCCTGACATTCTTGAGTATATCAAGTAGTGCATCCGGATCTTCGTAGGGCGATTTAGACTGTGACTGGTTTAAACTCAGCGTCTCAAACCCATCGAGCCTCGACTCCTGGAGCTGCAAAGCTTTGTCTTCTTGAGCTTTCCGGCGTTCCTCTTCTAAAGCGGCATCAAATATAGTCATGCTAGCTTGCCTGCCCGCTATCGAATTTGGACCGCCGTTAGCATTTGGCCGCCCTGCAGCATCCCGTTTCCTCTTCATAGCTTCCTCGAACCTCTTCCTGGCCTCCAACTCGTTCCAGCATCCCATGCTCTTAAGTCTTGCTACCCATCTCGTGTCATCGTATACCATCTCACGCATTCGGCTTGACGTCCTTGCAAAGCGAAGAAGGTCTGGTATCGGCAAGTAATCGAGTATAGAGACAATGATTTCTATCATCCAGGATCAATACCTACACGGCTAACGGGGAGGATAGGCTTCGTGCTTACCGGCTGGCAGAGCTGTTTTCGTATCTAACATCGATGTCGCTCGCAATGTACTCAGGATACTCGCCTTGGGCGTCGCGCCATATTGCGACGCTCGTTTGAATGTAGACATTGTAGCTAAGTTATTGTAGTAGATCTACGGGGAATTGGTAAGGTTGCACACAGCTACATGAGGTAACCCTATTGCGAAATTAAGAAATATAAGGGTAGTATTGGGGAAAAGAGCAGTTTGACTGCCATGGAGATTGTGATGAAGTATATGGATGAAGTATATGTAATGTACGAAATCCCAAAAAGTGCCCCTTCAACCTGGCGGTCACAACTATTACATATGTACATGTATAAGATGAACCCACCTTCCTTAGTTAAACTAAACACTAGGTACCTCATAACCCACTGAAGGTACGGATGTCCCTTTCAAAAGTTTTTTCCATAGGGAACCCCTGTCAAGATTGCCAGCAGCTGCCAAATGCTTGGCCACCACCTGGTAGCACATTCGAAGATGTATACATTATCATCACCAATTTTAATACTATTTCTTACAACTAAAGACAACATTGCCATAGCTTAAAAAAGTTCTATTTGAACTCATGCCTTTTCTATTTAAAACTCCCTTTTTTCTTTTAAAATTTTACGATTTATTTAAAAGAAAAACATTATATTGAAACATTAAAGTAAAATAAGATACCTTTGCCGAATAGGTGAACAGCCGTCGCCAAGCATGGCCAAAGCTTGTCAGGAGTGACAAGGGTCTCCCTATGGAACGAACTTTTGAAAGGGACATCCGTACTCACTACCTAAATAAGGCATGTACGAAGGTTGGGCCAAAAGTCTTGCACATCTGAGCTTGGCAAAGCCACGTGCGAGTAAAAAGAGACTGCACGGTCTTATTCAAGCTATAGTGGCTAATGTCGCTATAAATATAGTGGTAAGCCACCTGAATTCAGTGGGCAGGCCACTATCCGACCTTCAGCTTAGCGTGTGGCTGATACAGTATTAATAAGTTAAAAGATGTACGAAAATCGATGCCAAGATTTCGACATGTGCAAGACTTTTGGCCAGGTACTTTTCACACCGCCCTTTGTCGGCAAGGTACTCCCCGCGGCAGAATTCCTCCAAATTCGATAACTTTTTTTTCTGGGCCCAAAGTCAATTGCAGCTAAACAGATATTTTTTATGGTTCACACCTCTAATACATAACAGGTTGAGCAGAATTTCCGACGTTTCATTTAGAGACTTACTGTATCATCACACAATACCATCTTAATTCAGGATTCACGTTACTGTATTTTAAATCTTCAAAATGGAAGCTAGTGATCCGGCTCCCTGGAAGAAGCTTGACCCGGAGAAGCTTCGTCGCGAAGCCGAAGCTAAAGGTAAACGACATTGCCATAGCCGCCCAGGACGTAGATTGCTAACATACTTCAGAGGCTAAGCTTAAGAGACAACAAGAGCAACGAATCGCAAGATCCGAAGCCCGCAAAGAAAAGCGCCATGCCAAATCCGAAGCTAAGCAAGCGCGAAAGGCAAACGTTGGCCGTGCTGCTAAATGGAATCCTGAACGCAAAGCAGCCGACAAGTTGAAGAAACTGGCCAACCGACCGCACAAGCAAGAGAAGCGACGCAAGCGCCTACGCCTACGCGCTCAGAAGCTGGAGGCGCAGGCCATCAAGCTGATGGCTGAGGCGCAGAAAGCCAAGGCTCGTGCCGACCTCCTAGACGAGCTGCGCGAGGTAAGATGTTCGATTAACCGTACGATTATTATTTACTGATTGTATGATTAGAAAGAGGATGCCGAGAAGAACAAGTTGTCTCGTGAGGTTGAGAAGATGGCAGCCGACTCCGAGGATGAGAACTATATTCCTCTAGATGACACCAAGTCTAAGCGTGCTAAAAAGGAGGAAGTAGATAGTGAAGACAGTGACGACAGTGACGACAGTGAAGATAGCGAAGATGATGCACCCCCCAAGAAGGAAAAGAAGCACAAGAAGAAGAAGGACGAGAAGAAGGCTGAGAAGCGTAAGCGTAAGGCTGAAGAAGACGACGAGCGTGACTCTAGCGACTCATCCGATGCCGATGTTGCGGGTGGTGTGGAGTTATCCAAGGAGGAAAAGAAGAAGAAGAAGAGAAAGTTAGAGAAGGCCACCGAGGAGGTCAGTGCTCAAGCAGAAGTTGAGGCGCGAAAGGAAAAGAAGGACAAGAAAAAGAAGAGAAAGGAGAAGGAACAGGCCGAGGAGTACGTGTCGTCCGCCACAGTTGAAGCTGGAGGAAATACTAACGGCGGCGAGCAGTGGAACGCCCAAGCACTAGATGGTGATGACAAGAGGAAGGAGAAATTCCTCCGCCTTCTCGGTGCCAAGAAATCCAACGGTACGACGGACGCAGGGAGTCATAACGCGCCCTCCACGTCAAAGGCGTATATCGACCGAGTCCAACACGACCTAGAGCGACAATATGATATGGGAATGAGGATGAAAAATGAAGGCCAGGGACAGAAAAGGGGTCTCGGAGCATGATCTCCTTGTAGTTATGTATTCATACGAAATGGCGTTTTGATAGGTCGAGGTTTATACCATGAGATTTGCGCTGCTTACGAGCGCTAGGCCTGTCTAGCTGCTCTCTTGATGTCAATTGTCAATTAACCAAGGTATTGGCAATGCTAGTTCTATGCATTTGAACACATCTCAGCATGTGTATTAAACAGGACTTCATTACACGTGATCGTTATTGAATCATAGCGTAGGCTTCACGCTCAGGGGTTAATCAGTCCCTCTACCGTAGAATTTCAAGAATTGTATATAAATCTAGCAACGCATCTAAGATAAATATGGCCTCCCTTAAAACGCGATTCCGTTCTTGTAGAGCAAAAAGCTCAGGTATCATATCGATCTCCTAAACAACTATACACGTATACGCTCTGAAGACATTGTAAGCATCCCATGCTTCTTAACTTCCAACCACGTCTCTCTATGTTATACCATGACTACACGGACCATCCCCACAAGAGTACTTTTTGTCACTCGAACTTTACTTTGATAATGACAGCATGTATGTATGTTATTTGCACCTTTCAACAATATCGTTATTCATCGGAAGAAGATGCGCGAGATGAGCTCGAATATGAGGCCGCCGAAGACGATGAAGCCGAGGATACCTGCACGCGAACAAACAGACATAGCTTATTAGCTTTCTTGTAAAAAGGACTTGACGCGATCAACGTATTGGGGGGGAGGGAAGGGGGGATAAGAGACAAATAAAGTAGCGTACCGAGCCAAAAGGGAGAAATAGGCGACTTTTGCACGCCCTTGGTGTGCTTCTTGATATCAGTCTCCGACTTGCCGCGACGGGCATCCTGCTCCTTGGTGAACTTGGCGTTCCGCCTTCGCTGCTCGAGGGTTTGGGCCTGGGAGTCGCAATTAGCAAGCAGTATATTCGCCGGTGCGCGCAGTATTACTAGAGACGTGCCATTTTGTATGTGTACCTGATATAGAAAGGAGAGTTGGTTGTAAAGGGGGTAGAAAGTCGAAATAGAGTATGCTAGGTATGTATGTATGCGTGTATGTGGTATGTATGTATAGCGCGGTCTCGAAAGTTCGAAGGGAACCGAGGGGGAATAGTGTAAGTACGGTCAATTGAAATGTATATGAAAGGTATGCTACTATTAATATAAATGAACTCGAAGGCGAGAGACCAGACAGATCCCCCAACCTAACGCGCGAGTTTAAATATTTAGAAATGACAAGGCGACGGGTTTTCCAGTGGGATCTGAGAACAGATTGTTCAAACTCAAGAGTTGGAGATGTATTCACTTTCCCGTATGGACATGGTGTCTGCAAGCTACCTCCCCTGCTTTCTAGGTATCCTCCCTTTATCGATAGCGGAATACCTAAATGTATTGTACTAACCCAGCTCGCTTTGCTCGTCCGATAAAAAATTAAGGGACCTACCCGTTTCGATACGAGCGCTACTGTTAGGTACTTGCCCCAACGGGCTAGAACTATATTTTCCCCGGTGGATCAGCACCAGCAGCCTCGTCAGGGGGGCTTTATATAGGAATACACTAAGGTTCCGCCCAAGCCACTGCTGGTGGGGTAACTACCTATGTAAGAGGTATGCACTTTGAAAGAAGTTTCCATAGAGCTTCCGACCCTTCGAAACGGACCTTAACATAAGCTTCAAACGAGCTCGATCCACGATGCTCTCCCGAACAGCAAGACACCTCGCTCCCTCCCGCACCCTCACAGCGCGCGCATCGCGCCATCCCACCCCCCTCCAGCAACTCCAGCGCCCACGGGCACGCTTCTCCTCGTCCTCGCCCGCGCCCGGTGGACAAGAAGCCCCGTCCCCAAATGTCAGTAACATCCCCAAGGGGGGGCGTACGATAGATATATAATCCGCACCTTAAGAGAGGAGAAGAAGCTCACTTCTCCCAGGCGCAATTCTGGAAGACCTTCGGGCGGCCTATCGCGAAAGTACTCCTCGTCGCCGTCTTCACGTACCAACTAGCGTACTACGGCTGGGTGCGCCTAGAGCAGGACGAGACCCGGGCTAAGATACGAGGCACGCGCGCCTTACCCTTACCCTTACCCCTACCCGTCACCCCGCAGAGCTAACACGAGCAAACCGCAGCGACTATTTCCGATCTCGAAGCCAGGATAGAGCAGCTCGAGAAGGCGCGGAAGAAGTAAAGATGCGCTAGGTCATTAACGTAGGACAGATATCATCGCCTTAGATTCGCCGACGAGGATGTATCCGCGGTAGTGACGACGTTAACGTGGAATTGAAACAACAAATTATTAAGTCCGTTATTCTTAGCTGGATATGAGCCACGGCATAGACTTGTTTGGAAGCCTTTACAGTAGGTAAATAGAACATCCAGCACGTCATGACGCAAACACCTAACGCTGTAAAGGTAGTTTGATGATTCGCGCAGTTGCGAACACGACCTGTATATTTGACGGTAATGTGGAAGTGTCAAATATCCTTGTTGGAAATGAAATATGAGATAGTATCAACCAAAAACGCCCATACAATGCCATTCATGCAATGCCTTTCGCCTGCTCTCCATGAAACATGACCTTCAATATCGCGAGCCAATCCGAACCTAGGCGCCCAACCCTAAGCTCTAAGCCCCGACTCTCATACAAGTATTGTTGTTAAAAGTATGCCAATTACGCCGACAAGACCAGCCCAAGAAGGGGAAAGCATGCCTGCGCCGCCTATGAAATGCGCAGACCCGGGGTAATTACACGACAAACTATCGTCCCACGCTTTTCGTCCATAGCTAGTTTCGAAGCTAAACTTACTTTGCGGCCGAGGACAACTAAATCCCATCGAAGCCGGGCAGCTCTGGATCAGCTCATAACACAAATTTTCACAGGGCAACAACTCCTTGTACGGGCCTGGCTGAACAACTTCGTCGATCTTAGGATTACGAGAGGAATTGAAAGCCCTATTACCCGCGTGTTTCTTCAATATATCCTCATCCACCGTCGTTCCATTTGGAAAAGGAGATCCGATGTTGCGCATTTGAAGGTAGGGTCGATCGGGCGTTGAGAAGTCCTCACAACGAGGAATTGCCACCGAACAGAGCCATCTCTTGTATGCAGTCTTGCAATCCTCACAGCCCCTGGCTAACGAGTATCGGGCAGTTGAAGCAGCCTCGCAAGGAGTCTGCTGTAGAACTTTATCGAAATTGTCCCACATAGACCGTACGTAGTCATCGTAAAAGTTTCCAAGAGCCGTAGCGTTAGGAAACGTGTTCAAGTTCCCGGGAACAGCATATTGGGTCTGTTCGCAAAATGTAAGGTTGAAGATAAACGTACATGCGCCATCTACGTTCTTGTTAGCGTCTCATCACTCCTAAGAACTTATGCTATGCTTACTAGGTTTGGTTGAAAAAACAGCCGGTTGGAATACGATGCCACCACCTATGGTCGAAGATTCTTCCTGGCGCGTTTGGAGACTCTTCCCCGGCGGACGAGCAAGGATAGCCGTATAGTTGGAGCTAGCGTTAAGACCACTAACGTAGAACTCCTGCCGGGTCAAGTTGTCCTCTCCTCCATTCTTTAACCCTATCGTCATCGCTCCGCTACTTCCATCTGCAAGATTCCTAATCTGAGCATAGGAACTTAAACCACAGTAAGAGTTGCGTAGCCCATTGATGTCCACATTATTATCGTTATGAGCGAACATGACATACGGCGGCGTCGTGATGACTTGACTCGATACATTGTTTAGATACCCGGTTTGTAGTAGAGCAGCCGATGCGTCGCTATCAACCCATACAAGATCAGGATCGGTATGATTGCCGTGAAACGAATAGTAATACTGATCGGTAGAAGCGACGAGCTCGAAATTATATTCTTGTGAAGTGTCAAATTTCTCGGTCGAGACATCTGGGGCAGAAATGCTCAAGTAGACATCCTTGTCTATAGATGTGTTGAACATAACAGCCCCCTCCGTGAAGACGATGGCTTTCTGCGTATTGTCGCTCTGCTGCGGTCCCGGAGAAGTATTATCAGACGATGTCGAAACGTAAAGAGTGAGTTGTGGAGGATTCGGAGCTGTTTTGTCTGATGAACGGCGCCCGGGTTGCAGGCAAGTATTGGCGGATATCCACAATGTTTTACTTGTTTCATTCCGACGTGTAAGTTCTGGCTTAATAGTAGTGCCGTCATCCTCATTCTGATCTTCATCCCCATCCCCATCCACAGCCGGTGCTTGTGATTCATTTAAACTTCTTCGAAGCTCTAGGGGCTCATTTGGGTCCCGCTCTGCCCTACTAGTGACTGACGAAGCTTGGAAGACATACGCCATCGTAGCACCAGGAGCGAGATTGGACTTTTTCAGTTCATTGTTGGCCAAGATAGTCGCACCATCTGGTACCCTTCCTATGATGCTTCGGTCGAATAGCGCAAAATCTGGCTCGTACGCTGGACCTCTGAGGTCTAAGGCGTCTGATATATCCACAACATCGAGCTCTTCGTATGACAATTCGTGTACGTCATGGTCGGCGACTATAGGATCGAACTCGACAGCGAAGGCGAACTGCGGAGAGAGTAGAATGACATAGATAACAAGCAAAAGGCAGGTGGCTATCAGAGATGCTGCCAGCCGCGATTGCAATGGACTAAGCTGCATCCTAGAAGCATAGCCCTTTCGGGCATCTCACAGAATATAGGGTTGTGTCCCAGTAGCAGCAGATAAGTCGGATTGAAACTTATTGGAATCTGACAGCTGGAAAGGATTACGCTAGGCACCGCGGCGGTACGAAAATGGGATTTGTTTGTTACTATCGGTTATATTCTACAGCAGTAGGATGGTCGCGTAATATCGAAGACCGTTTTCTAGAAAATAAGGACAATTGTAGATACAATTGGTGGCATTAGCTTATCGAAAAGGAGTGGGCAATGCGAAGTCGTAAAGTCGTAAAGTCATCGAGGAATAGAGTTTCACAAGCAAAGCTGGGTTATTGATAGGTGCCTGCCCTGAAATCCCCTGACAGCTGAATACCCGCAACTGCGGGTCTCAACCATACATGTACACTACAATACAACCTTGAAACAACCCAAGCCACACCTCCAACCCTCTTTAACCACTAACTTTCCCGTAACACATACGGTAATACCCGTTTATACTACTATGTACGTCGTGCAAGAGCCAAATTTATCAGCAAATCTTATCAAAGTAACAATAAGCCAATAAGCCAATGGTAGGTAAGCTCAAATGTTCTTAAAACTACATATGTACCTATCAATCAGCCACCAAATACGTAGGTACTAACCTACATACGGATGTACATGTACAAATGGATGTCACTTATCATGCAGGGACAGTGATATCGGGTATCGCTTTCGCTATCGTTCCCAGCTTCCAACGCTACACAAGCCTGCATCCCCATACACTTTGAGATCGGCGAACATATCGTTATTATTCATTGGGAGCAACAGACCCAGTAGTTTGGTTCGGCGATTTAGCTTCGGTGTGACAGCCTTACTTTTATGAGGGTCTTATGAGGTTGATAGACTTATAAAAGGCCTACTCGAACCCCCATACACTTGATCTCTCTCTTCTGCTCACGATAGTTTTTCCCAAGGACGAATGAAGTTAGCATTGGCCCACCTACACCTTACATACATACATGGTAAATACGACGGTAGCCACAGACCTATAAGAAGATGGATTGTGGCAAACGGGCTTATCGCGCTGTGCCGCGCCGCATTTGGATCGGCCCGTTCGATCCAAACGGATTCACGCTGATGGACGTTTCCCCATCTCTGGTCGGCATCGTCAGTTGAATGGCCTGGAGTCGGCAATGAATTAATTCAAGCTGGTATCATAACTACGATGAACTAGCGAGGACGCAAGATCGAGTTGAAGGATATTATTAGTGCTGACGTAGTACATACCGCAAGTCATCGCAGTCTTATACTCCAGCCTTGTCGGTATGAACGACAGTAGCACGCAAGAGCACAAGCCACGCGGTCCGCGGCTCTATCATAAAAAGTCTCGTACCGGATGTACGCGATGTAAGCAGAGACGAGTCAAGGTTAGTTAAGGGGCTACAGCGCACTTCGCCTGCCAAGCCATTACCCGCTTCTAACTTAGGGGTTGTCTTGGCTGCAAGTACATCTCGTAGAATGTATTCCTAACATCCCGTTGTAGTGTGATGAAACTCGACCAAGCTGTGGCTCTTGCTCAAGACATGCGGTTGAGTGCGTGTATTTGACTACGAGCCAGGCGTCTTCAGCAGCCGCCGGCAGATCAAAGTCGGCTACCCGGCACGATAGTAGGCCAACCGGTCACTCTACAGCTTCCAGCAGCAGGTTAGTACCTACTTACGACGACGCTTCACGTCAGTCGCCAGTGAGTAATGCGCCTGGTCTTTTCAGCAACGATATCAAGCCGGTGGTGTATTCACCAAATGGCCCAGGATTTTACTCCTCGCCGTCTTCGTCTTATGTTACCCCTGCAGATGATGGCTCAGATGTCGAAGTCAACCTACCCGAGGGACCATGGCGACGGTTCTGGGAATTACGCTTGCTATACAATTATTATGCGAACATGTCGCAGCCGTTTTCGATACCACAAAACCAGGAGATCACATACATGTGGCAACACGAAATCCCCGAGCTAGCCACCCGCATGGCAATTCAGCAAAATCGATCCGCTTTACTTTATGTGATATTTGCTAACTCGGCTCTATATCTTTGGAAGGAAAGCACGGACAAACAGGAGCGAATCGAACTTATGAAATTGCAACAGGCCTACCATGTCATGTGTAGTAGAGAACAGCGGCGCGATATCGATGATTTATTGCCGAGGATGTCTCAAAATGCCCTCTTCATCTGTTTCACTAGTATTCGGATGCTGGCACATTCGATAGGCCTAGTTCAAACAATGGCCGTAGATCCTTGGGAGCCCCCGGTCCAGTGGTTGCATATGGGACGTGGGGCAGGCGAGATATTAAAAATGGCTGGAAAGTTGGCCGATCCGGAGAACGCCCAGAGGATTGCGGCGTTTGAGAAAGGGCCACCAGATTTAAGTAATAGTAAGGAGTTGATTACTTCTGATCATAGCTCGCTCGATTGGCTCCTAGAACATCCCGCCGGACCCGGATCGAATGCGGCGCAAGAGGACCACGAGCTAGATGATGAAAATGCGAGACGGGTATACGAAAGTGCTCTGTCGTACACGTGCACGATACACAGAGCACTTGCCGATGGTGAACGAGATTATGCTGTTGTAAGGAGGTTCGGTGGCTTTGCTATCTACGTGCCAGCTGAGTTCACCAAATTCGTAGAGGAAAGGAGGCCGAGAGCTATGGTGATATTAGCACATTTTATGGCCCTGTGGATAGGCTTCGAGCACATATGGATGATCGGCCGAGCTGGCGAGTTGCAGGTTAGGGGCATATATAAGGCTTTGCCAATAGAATGGAGTAGCAAGCTTGACGGCCTAGTTGCGAGGTTTAAGCCGCCGGATGTAGGTACATAGGTTAAGCTAGATCTTTCCTAAGTAGCAAGCCCTGACTTGTAAATTAAGGCATGTACTATTTGAAGAGGAACGCCCAGCACTTTATGTTCTTATGATGTGATGTCGCATAGCCTATGCAGTAATAGAAAGAAAGTTAATACAAATAAAAAGGAGAGTTTCTTAGTTTATGAGTTCCAATCTATGCAATAATAAACTCCAAACGGGCCGCACCTACATAACCGGAACGGCTAAATGTGGGCCGGGCTGAAGCCTCACTTACTGGTTGCAGCTCTGCATATACCTAACTTAAGCTTCAACACCTCTAAGTCAATTCAAGATTACCTAATTAAACATCTCTACCTTGGGTAGCTACCTATCATACCATTGCGCCGCTATCCTTCTTCATACCATACCATGGTCAGTCATATCATATTAAACACAACCCGTAAGCGCAAACCTTCAAGCTAACGAATGACGTAGCCGCCAAAACGCAAAGCCGCAACCACCACCGCCGCCGCCGCGCCGAAAGAGAAACAGTCCAAACTAGCTAAAGAGCACAATATATCGGCGCGCGAGGAGCGCGAGATCAAGGAGGCGTTCGCGCTATTTGCTGAGCCGGCCGAGGGCGAGAAGGAGGGCGTCATACCGATTAAGGACGTAAGGCGGGCTATGGTGTAGGCTCCCTTTCCCTTTCCCTTTCCCTTTCCAGCCCCCACCCACCCTACCAAACCATATCAATCACCGCCATACGAGATCTCGACTAACAGCACCCCCCAGCGCCCTAGGCCTACCCCCCAGCAAACCCGAGCTCGCCGAATTCCTCGAGATCCTCGACCCAGACGACGAAGGATACGCGTCGTACGAGCCGTTCGTAGCGCTGTGCGCGCTGAAGCTGCACGCGCGCTCGGCCGGGCCCGCGGCGGAAGAAGTCGACGAGGCGTTCCGGTTGTTTACGGGGAGTACGGGTGCGGGTGGTGGGGACGAGGAGGTGTTGACGCTATCGCATCTCCGCCGCGTCGCCATGACGCTCAAGCAGGACGTCGACGACCAGCTGCTTAAGGACATGATTCTGGAGGCGAACGGGGGCGCGGGGGTCGCCAAGGGCGTGGGCAGGGCCGAGTTCGAGGAGGTTATGAGAAGGGCGGGGGCGTGGAAGTGAAAAAAAAGATGGCGGGATATGTATGTGGGAGGGGCATGCTGCGTGTTTCGCAGGATAGAAAAGTGAGGTCCTACCTATTAGGAACGCGGATTAGAAGATGTACGGGATGGATGAATGGGTGCGCGCTTATGTATAAGCACCCCCTTCGTGAGGATCCGAAGGGATACGATACGTGAATTCGCTACTTCACTTCTTCGGACGGACATTGGAAAACGGGGCATACAATTCACCAACTTACGAACTTTGCGGCGAGGTAAGTACCCATGTTCTACATACATGAGACACGTCTATTTCTATTTCTGCTAACGGCGACGGACAAGACAGTAATGGAATAGAAATGTAAGATAGGAAAGAGAAGGCAAAAAAGCCAAAAGGTTAACTAGTTAATAACGTTAAGCATTGGATTTCCAGATATTTGACGAAAAAGGTTTGGGAGCCGTGGGTTCCCTCTGAAGATGCCATTATAAAAAGAGCATATTTATTTTGAGTTACGGGTTACGTCGTCTGACTCCTTATTTCGGATGACAAGTTGCTATTTATTATAGCTTATAAACATTATAATGCGATAAGCGGCATATTATAGAATTGCTTCGGCACGTGCATACAACTATCACCAAAACACTGAGTTTAACTATAACTAAGCCTTTAGCTTTAAGCAACTAGAAGAATTATTATATCTTACCTTAGTGGTAGTCGATGCTGAACTTCTCTTAGTTTAAATATATAGTTAAGCGTTCTTTTAGATCAACAACTATGAATTCTCTCGGTATAACAAAGTCTATTATAATATTGATATGTTGAGATCACATGTCTACATTTATACTTAAGTCAGAACGGGACGACGGGATCCAAAGTCCCATTAAAAGTTTGGCCCACGAAATTCCTACTCTCGCATATAGCATTTATAATTCTGAGAGGTTCAACAATCGTATCTAGTCATATCCATTGTGAACGCCAAAAAAATGCAGCCCCTTCATGCGCTCAAAGAGAAAGCATGACTTGTACCACGGGGGCGGGCCATCCAATATCCACGTAGTACGTGTACATGCGTTGCGAATTATACAGCTATTGAAGTCTAATAAACTCGCTAGAAACTCGCTAGTTACTTTCCTTCTAATATCCCACACGCCACATTAAGCTAGTATTCACTCCGACGGAGGGGCCGCGGCAGCAGCGCTCTTAGCGGCGGCCGCCTCCAGGGTCCTCTTTTGAGAGTCTATGACCGCCTTAAGCTCGGGAGGCGGGTTAAAGCCGGGGTGGTCCGAGTGCTTCTTGTAGAAGTAGTTATCGGACTTGGGTGTTAACTCAGGAGGTAAGTCGTCTAAGACAGCTTGCAGTAGATTGTCGATGGACTTTTGCTTAGACGCGTCGCGGTGCCAGATGGAAATCAGATGCGAGTTGAAGCGCACGGAGAGGCCGACGCCACAAATCTGGTCGCCTTCCTCCAAAACCTCCTGTAGCTTCTCGCCGATAGCCATCAGCTGGATGCGGGTCCAGAAGTCGGGGCCGGAACTCTTGGGCACGCGGAAGGTCCAGCTGCCACCCAGCACGTTACGGCGGTCCTCCCAGATAGGCTTGAAACCACTCTTGAACAAGTAGATAGACTCGCGCATCTTGATCTGGTCTACCGGGGTATTGTTGTTGTATCGCCAAAAGTCCTGGACCGACTCGATCTGGGTTCCGAGCTGTTCTAGCGACACCTGATAGTTGGTCTCGTCTTCCTTCTTTTGGTCTTTGGCTTGTCTGGACGAAAACACCAGCGTTAGAAAAAGATGTGAATTAAGTAAACGTGCATCCTATCAGTATCCTACCTATCAAAATAGACGTTCCAGTAATGCTGGGTAGGCAGAGGGCGCATGGTCTTGAACAGATTGCGCTTGGCATCGTCTCGCTGCTCGGCGGGCGAGCTGACACTCGGCGAGTTCGCATCGGTGCTCTGGGAGAGGGAGGAAAGCCCTCTGGTAAACAAACTCGGTCGCGTAGCCATGATTACTACAGGTCAATGTTTTGTTAGCTTGTAGACACAAGAGTAGAATGCGAATAGAGCCCCTATCTTTGTTAGAGGAGGGGTTGGAGAAGCTTCAACGGCAGTGATGATGGTGGGGTCTAACGCTGCCAAGACTTTCTGTTCCTGGCCGCAGCACCGGAGCAGTATCTTGTTAGTTGGCTTTAAATAGGTGCAGCGGTTACACAACTACACCCTACTTCTGCAGCCTCACAGGGGGGATGGACACTTACAATCGGAAGATGTAGTATGGGTCGGTACCTAGGTAAGTTAGGTGCTTAAGTACCTAAGATAAAGACACGATTTATATATTACTCTTGGCAGACAACTAACTGGATACCGTCAAGAAAGGAAGAGTAGATAAAAAAGAGTAAGAAGAGTGAAAGTAAGTCGGTTAGGTAGTTAACTAAAATATTATAAGTTCCGAAACCATGGCCAACGTGATAACCAAATGACCTTTTCAGCTATAGGTAGGTACGGCTATAGGTACGAAGCAGCCAATGCAGTACTTAATATGAATCAGGGGGTTGCTATTGGTTCTGAAACCAACACAGCTGGGTTTCAAGAGCCGCAATTCGTATGATCGCTAACACGCTGTCCGACCGCACTTACCAATAGTATCAATTACATAGCTGCAGTTACCCAAAAGTATTTGCATTAAGTACATCGCAGCATCCGTACATACATAGGATAATTGAAGAAAGTGCATGTACGAGTTCCAATCAACGCTAGCGAGAACTACATAGACTTCAGGTAGTGGGACTCAGCCTCGTCCTATCTTAAACATCCGTCTCATGTTAGACTTCTCACTATCTTCTCGAGATAATATCAGTAAAACTAAGATCTCCTATAAACTTAATAGCTATAAAAAGCCCATGCATGATTAGCATCGAGTTATCATTTGATTGAGAGTTAAATATATTAGAAGAGTATATTTTAGTTTACCCGTTTCGGCTATCCCGTAACCAGCCATCTACGTCTATTATAGCTCTTTTTTTTAACTTAAATAATTGTCCTGCACAGTTTCACTATGCCTACCTGTATTAAAGTAAACTCAGAGATATGTCTACATTCTAATCATCTCTTCCTCTTAGTTATAAGTGGTAATAGGAGCCTTGTTGGCCTGTTAGTAAAATAATAATACTGCTCTAATACTAAACGAACTTATAAGATAGGTATGTATGAAATACGCAGTCACTATGGCAGTTTAATATAAAATTAGTAGATGGAAACATTATTCTTATGGTCGCCATGAACGCATTCCCTTATGCCTCCGTATGAAAACTGTGCTACAATGGTATTCAACGTCTTAGTGGCTCGTTAATATTATACAACTCACATTGTTAATAACAGCTTTTCAAAACTATCCCAGCGATTCTCAATAACAATCATAGGGGTATACACCAAAGTTTATTGATTGGATTGGATGCCTCCAAGCCAGAAGCTCTTCGTGCTTCTTAATCCTTAGTCTATAGATATGCAGTCCATATCCTATATCACACATATACATACTAGGTTTTAGGTAATACAAAACATTCCCGTTCGAAAAACCTTAACTGATTAATACGTTCCTAGTGCCCTTCTAGGCCCAACTTATCACTCCTATATATGACCAGCATGATACTAAACTAAAGAAAATTTACTTATCTTAGAGTCACAGGATACCAGTAGACTCGACCCTCAAGGTTCCTAGTATATAATTAAACTTTCAAGGCAGCATTATGAACGGCCGCCAAGGTGTCCAACATTTGCGGACAGCCACGTTATTACACTTATGCCCAACGCCTATGAGTTAGGGGGGCTTAGATAGCTTAGGTAGGTAGATAGGTAGGTACCTAACCCAATAACCCAAAGAACAACCACGCATCAAGGGACACACGAAAAGGGGTAGCTGCCACATACATACCTAAAAACACATGATATCAAAATAATAACAGTAATGATGAATCAATCAAGATCCCTATCAAGGATCGACTAAGTTTGACTCCAGTACACACGCCGCATTAATGGTATTAGATGGATAGATACATTTGGATGCCGTATGCTCTGAGCAGTCTGCTTTAAGTATGTATATAACATATTCGCCGTGGTTTCTGGCCGCCGCGCGCCCAACTCCGGATTCACTGATCTTATTCACCGTCCAGTCTAGCGATGATATCCAGCCAAAATAGCACGGAGAGCGAGCGAACTGGCTCTCCTTAGCTGTCATAGCAATTCATTAACACAAGCATCACATCACCACACATCAACCTCATTCATCCGATTTGGTTTAGAATTTTTGAATTGGTTTCATTGATCTTCTTGTAGTTAATAAAGATACAAATCGTAGAATTCGGGGGATTGGCAGGTAGACCTGCTGTGCAGCAACTATTCGTAGACTCCTATCAGGTTATGTCTGTTCCTCGGATCGGCTTTTCCTCGAGTGACCTTAATAACGCCCCCCCATCTCGGCTGAGTACCCTGCCGAATATCTTCCTCCCCGGACCTGCGGAGGACGATGGAAGATTGTCCTCTTCGTTTCGCCTCGATAGCCACCGGCTGTTGCCCTTATATAAAAACAATGGAACCGAACGACCTCAAAAGGAGATCGAGACGACCCCGACGGCTAGGCCGTCAGTGGTTTAGAATGACACTTTTCTCCCGGTGAACCTGCTGGGACCCTACAAACTAATGAAATGAAGTGTACGAGCAATGCAAAACTGCCGAAACGGCTTGCTCGATGGCATGGGTAAGTGAACGGCTGTTAAATCTAGGCCTTACTCTCGCCAACGGCGAACCAGGAGGGCTAGACTTAATCAATGCCACACGGTCACCATGATGCTGGTCAAAACTTATGAGGCGTTCGTCAAACCCTAAATAGGCTTTACGATGAACCACCACGCCCAATTGACCTCAAATGCGATGAGATTTTGAGAAAAAAACGGGGGCTGCATTTCGTAATAATCCGTCCAATAGCAGCCGGTGACAAAGGAGAGCCATAATGCTGAGCAAAATCAGTGGTATCAGAGCGCAGACGCCATGTTGGTGCTATGCTTGCTTTCGCGATGCAATTCAAGTCATGAATCAAATCGATCAAGTAGAACATTTATGCTGAGAAAACGCCATGCGAAATGTAATGACGTGAGATGTGGATATGGAATAGAAAGGCATGATCATTGCGAAGTGGCGACACACCAATGACGGTGGAATGCCCAAGCGCTCTTTTGGCACTCCTTGCTGCAGTACTTCGTTCGACGGCATCGCCGGCACTTAGCAAACTGTCGCGTGTACTCCTCCCATTTACCGCACTGGTAGTATGCACATTGTCGAATGCCACCTCGAGTGTCGTCCTTGCGGCAGAGGTTGCGCATCACGACCCCAGCCCAATATTGCATATCGGTGCTGTGATACCGTACTGTGAACTTCTCGACCAACGGGAAGATGTTAAAGTCGTTTGGAAGAAGATATTCTTCCTCGTACTCTTGCTGTCCCAATGATTCTGCCGTTACGTTATCTCCGTCAAGTAATTGCAACTCCTTCCCTATTTGAAGCCGCGGCACGAGGTGACTCTGTTGGAAATACGACCTCAGATTGCAGTACTTCGAAACGTATGCCAGAAGTTGGAGAGACATTAATACATCTTCTTCTCTGGGCATCGCTGCTAGCATCTGCGGGTTCGGAGGAACTGGCCGATCCAAAAGATACCGCGGCACGCTTGCATGGTTCGGAAGAGAGGGTTGCGGAGTAGGTACAATAGGGCGATTAGGAGAAAGACCCATTGCCGGTCCAGGGGTCGGCGCGTTATTTGGTAGGCTGCCGTCTAGCGGGGTTCGATGTGTGATATTGAAGGTTCCCGCGTCTGGGATCTCGGAGACCGTCGGCGTTGCTAAGTCAAGAGCAGCACCAGCTAGAGTGCTATCGCCCTCCTCCATGGCAATGTCCTGGAAACCAACCGTAGGTTGGATGTCAGCAGTGCCAGACATCTCAGCATCTTGAGACTCGTCTGACTGCACGCTATCGGTTGCATTCAGATCATCCGCATCCGTAGTCGAGTTCTGATGACGTATGGAAGGGCGTCGCCTGGATCGACCATTTGGTACTAATTCCGAGGTAGGTCTAACCGCCGGCGAGTGGGTTTGAGGTGGAGGTAAAGGAGTAGTGGGGGAAGTAGGTTGCGATGGTAGGCCGGGGTGGAAAACCGGTACCATTGAGGGTAGTCGGTCGATGTCTCGAACAGGACGAATGAAACCATCAACCGCCTCCATAGTCGGGACCGCACTCACCAAGGGCTGGATCACCTGCCGCGACGGTGATATAATGTTCGGCCGACTTTCTTGTCTGTGATGATGGTGGTGGTGGTGATGGTGATGATGATGGTGATGATGGCGGTGATTAAGGAAAGCAGAGCGATCTGGAGGAGAGGTAATGGGGAATGACGGGATAGCTGGCGCAACTTCAGCAGTAGCCTGCTCAGCCGCAGCCGACGTGCTCGCAAAAGAAGCGGCTGTGACATCGATAGACGGCGGCGGAGCTTGCCGGCGGAAAGCCCTCTGGTCAATGTCTAAACGACTAGACCGATTCGCGAAAGATGATTTAAATGGCGGCTCCCGATGGCTATTGCTCCGGTGTCGCTGCTGGTGGTCAGCTATCTGCTTCTGCTTAGCTTCCTCTGCCTTTTCGCGGCACTTTTCGATAACCTTAATATAGTTATCGAGTATAGTTGCGATAACGGGAACCATATCAGCCTCGACCACCCGAGTCCTCACATTCTCAGTTCCCCTAACTCCTATGTTGACTACGCACTGGAAGGCAAGATTCCACTTCCACATATCCATCATATCTCTGCTCCGTCCCTGTTTCAATATGCATACCAGCCTCTCGATCCCCCCATCGACGGTGAGGATATCGCGAATGCGAGCCGAAGAAGTCGTAAGATAAGCGAGATGATTGAGTGAGTTGATGAGGGGGAGAGTCGAAGTACAGTCAAGTGCCCGGCGGTCGTATAGGGCGGTGGTGATGCCCACCGACGCCTTATTGACGTTGGGGATGCTAAAATTGACTTCTCTCATTTTGGGCGATATAGAATTTCAAGAATGATGATGGTATCGGCAGAATTGAAGAAGGGTGACGCCGCAGGATGGTACAGAAACGTCAATATGTGGGTATTATGGCTGGAAGCGGCGGCTGCGTCCTTGGAAATGACCCTTCTATATACGAAACGCAGACCACCACTTCAATGGGTTGAAATGGACGCGTAGAATTTAATGCGGGAACTTGATGCAAAGTACGAAAAAGTGCCAAGATGAGTTCTTTCTGTACTTGAGCAGCAGAATTTGTGAAACTGATGTCCTTGAAAAATGCGTAATAAGAAAACGAAGTCTCTTCGGCTGGCGCAATTGTCAATGGGGCTGACAGAACAATAGAAATCGAGATGTACTGTCTCAACGATGGGGTAAGGCGTCGGTCGGATACGT